TTTCCCTGCGACGAGAATGAGATGAAATGTGAAAAAGTATGCGGAATGGCAAACCATAAACAAAGAGAGCACAAACGCCACAAGCCAGGTTGTTCTTGTCAACATGTGGGTCGCAAAAAACCCTTGGGATGTTCTCTCTCCATGTTAAGACAGAAGTTCCAATAAAGTCCAAAGAGCGGGGTCCATAAATATCGGTCATGTAACTGATGCACCGTTCGAAGCGCTCGGCTATGCCTGGAAATTCGGAGTATGTAAGTGATGTAACCAACTGGCTGTTGCGTTATCTGTTATCCGTCAAGTTAAGCATGGGCTTGAAAGGGGATCAACACACCTTACTCTGAACAGCAATGTTCCAGGTCCAAAAGCCTTCGCCACAGCCTCCACATTCAGTTGTTGCCATTGGGTGGCTGCAGGTGCCTAAAGCAAAAGTCAATCTCAGATTAATGTTGCTATGGAGGGATTTACGCTTTTGTTTTGGCGGTCATGGCCTGCAATACAAAACCAATGCCTTCCCCGAACATTTCCTTCAGCATGGGTATCCGTGAATGGCTGACATTCCCTAACAAAAGCCTTCATCTCTCCAACGAAGTTGTCCATGGAGTGAACCAGCCAAGGTATGGATTTAGATCTAAATATGATCAGACGGCCAGACGAATCGAGAATCCGCGTGGGTTGCTGGCAACTGGGAATGCGTTAATGGTAATTATGCTCAAAGTGGAGGATGGGAAACAGACTTACATTGGATCAAATAGTAAGCGGTAGAAATTTCGGAGGACTGGACCCAAAGTTCGATTATAGAATTTAGTTTTGGTAACTGATCCAACCCAAGAACAAAATCGCTGACCCTGCCATCCAGTGCTAGATGCCGGGAGGGAGGCTGCGTCAAAACCGTCCTCTTCCACCTGAACAGTTTGAATGCCATCGGCCTCCGCCCTTGCCTTTCTTTTTCGATGACGCCTGGCGGAGTCTCGGGCTTTTTGTCGCATGCTGCGTTGGTGTCCTTAACCATCTGCAGGTTGATGCTTCTTTCTATCCCGTTGGAACTCTTGCTTCAGCATCCAGGGGCTTTCTTGGATTGAATGACCTGGGACGAGCCTGAGGTTGTGGCAGTATCGGGTGTGCAAGTGGAGCTGACAAGCAGGAGATTAGATTGGTAAGGGTGAATATAAGCTGTGACGCACGGAATGACTTTGTATTTAAATTTAACCCCTTCAAACAATTGTCCAATGGCTCCCCTTCCATGGATTCCAACTCGGTATCATCATCGGAGCTGAGGTCAAGGTCATGTAGAACAGGATGCAAGTCGGGATCCACATTGAGAGTTTCGGGATCTTCAGATGCTGTCGTGCGACGGAAGATGATTTCTTCAATGCCAAAAGGCAACTTCATAATGTGGTGAGGTCCCTCGGTGAGATCCATTTGTCAACTTTCCTCGGAACATTTTGACCAATTGGGGTAACTGATAAACAGAACTCAATGGACAGGCTTTTGCACCAGGACTGATGACTTACCATTGATTGGCGAGCCTTCCAATGGACCGGGTTAGACGCATTGTGGAAAAACGAAAGCTTGCACGAAGTAGTAACGTTGTGCCTCATGCACGTGATCATGGGGAGGACGCATCGCGACGTTGTAAACGCCGGGTTTATGGAGCATATTGTAAACCACATGATCATGGGAATCATGTTGGAGGGTCTGGTCAACGTTCGAACTTCATTTACATTTTTCCCCGATGCAACTTCACCTTCTATGCCGTTTGCCTCGAAGTTGCTATTCTCAACGGCAACAGACCCAATGACTGGACGCTTGCGAGTGGCTCCCTTTAATAACAACTCTATGACCGCTCACCGGCAACGTCGTTGAGGCTGACCTGTGTCAAATTTGGATACTCGTTCCTTTGACCTGGACCCCTCGCGACGACCAAGCCATCGCATCAACCATCGAACTCCATCATCCACTGGAATGTCCTTGAGGTCGACCTGTGTCAAATTTGGATGTTCGTTCCTTTGACCTGGGAGCCTTCAAGTACAACCCACTCGCCGCATCCGAATGCAACCCCATCGACCACTGCCCTGTGACAGCTACATTTCTTTGAAGAGATCTTCATTTCCTTTCCTTTCATTGAGACGGCCGCACTCCTGCATCTGTGCCAGAGCCTTCAACCAACGACCTGGTCCAAGGGTACCAACGGTAAGCCCTCCCCTTTAACTTTAACTTTTGGCGAGCTGTCTGATGCCTCTACCTTTGTCAAGGTCAACTTCCTTTCCCCCAAGATCTTATCCAGACCCTGGATTCCCGCATGGCATTGCTCTGCAACTACATGCATGCCTTACTTCTCCCCCAGCCACTGCCGCCTAGTCACACCTCGATTACGTCGGTGTTGGCGACCAACCCTGCCACCAGTAACGGGAGGTTCAACAGGCCTTTGCTCTCAACTTCACCCAAGAGGCACGGTGTTGGTCATTTGATCCCTCCCATCCTGCACCTGAGCAGGGACATCGAATGAGGGAGACGAAGCGAAACTCTCATTTTCACACGGAAGAAATCTCACGTATCGTGACATCCACAGTTCCTGCAAGGTCTTTGGATGTCTGTTCGCCGTCTTGGGCATTCGCTTTCGATCGTCTGACGCTGCAGAGCGATTTGTGGCAGAGTTTGTTCCTCCTAATCAAGTACCTTTTCTCAATTCTTTCTCTGCAGAGTGGTTCCGGGTTCAGGTTCCAGAGAAGACGACGGTGGATCTGTCTCTTTTGGATGACATTTGGGAGGTGCCCGCAATCGCTTCAGATGCACATGCTACATATCCTTCCACATCCCATAAGTAGGATCTTCCCTTCAAACCATTTCTTTCACATCTGTTGATTCAATAATGTACATTAGCTTGACTTCGGTTTCTTGAAATATTCACCGCCATGTTGCCATTAAACTGGAAGACCATGATCTGATTTCGCAGTTGTTCAGTAAGGACATCGTCTTGTTACAAGACACTTGGCTTTGCACTGGCGGCGACGACGCTCTGCCTTTATCTCCAGGCTATGATTTCGGATCACCTAGCCCTGCCTCTGCCTGGCAAGCATGAGTAGGGTACTTCCGCTGCGATGGAAGTTGATCTTGTAAATCAGTAGGAGATCCTGTATGTAGCCTTCCTCGATCTCGAGAACGCCTTCCCTTCTATGGATCTTTCAACCGTGTGGATTAAGCTACAAGCGCTTGGTGTCGGTGGACCCACGTTTGATTGGATCCGCCATAAGTACCGGTAAATGGACTAGGTCTTCAGAACAGGATCTTCCTATTCCGACACCTTTCAATATTCCATTGGTGTCCTTACAAGCTGTGTCTTTTTTGTTTTTGCCAATATCGCACTCCATGGTTCTCAGACCTGTTGCACGTTCCGGCGTCTCGCACCATCTTCGACCTTGTGTCCATAGGCAGATATCGCATTTGATGATATCAAGCACCTCATCAACGATGTCAAGACGATTGCAGAGCAGTCATTGGCAAAAGTTATTCGCTGTTCACCCAAGGGCCGCATGCTCCGCATGTCGGTAAAGATTACTCAAGACGCATGATGTTCATATAAGGGCGACTTAAGCTTTCCAAGAAAGTGTACAAAAAGCCGTAAACGACAAAGTATTAGAAATGAAAGGAAACAGCACACAGAATAAGTTGACTACTGGATTCTTCCGAGTCGCCTCTTTGCTTATCCCTGTTGCCAATTAGTCACCTTCATCACCACCGATATCCCCCAGCATCGCGACATAGCAAGCTGTAACATCCTGGACAAATAACATCCATTGATTAGTCTCGAGTTGCATCGTTCCCCACCACCTCATGGCTTCCATTATTTGAACCATACCATGGGGTCCTTTCTTTTTCAAGGTGGAAAATTCGAACGAGTAGTTCGGAATGGGAAGGGCATATCCCTTGGACGTCTGGCGGCGTTCAGGTTGAATATCGTTCCACCAGCAAAGAATTTCTCTGATAAGTGTATACTTGTGTGTAACAGACATGTCGGGTAGTTCGAGCTGGAGGTTTCTCGCAGAGAGATACTCCGAGAGCATCTCTGGTCATTTCATAGAGCATAATCGGCCCTGTCAACAAATTATATCTACATCAGCTCCAATCCGCCAAATAATCAAACCAGGACACACATTCGGAATGTCTGGACATTGCTCAAATTTCAACCACAAATTAACGCAAGCATTGAAGGTGGCGCCTAAATTAGAGGTGCGAAAGATCGCCTGTGCCTGTACAATATGTTGGGAGACATTATTCAGCGTAATCACGATGCCACAAGAGCAACTTGATGCTCCAGATTCTTGATCTTGCTGAGGAGGCTTAGGTATATGTTGGGTTGGAACGGGGTTGGTTCTCCCGGTGGTGGTGGTGGTGATATCCTGAAGCGACACGGGAAGGACTTTGTCAGCATGGCCGGTAGGGATACTCGCTCGGAGATTCAAGGCCGCTGAAAACTCATCAGCTGGAATCAGTGGAAGCTGATATACAGTGTTGCCAGACATCGCTGAATTGACACCGCTGCCATTGGGACCTCCAGAGGTGTCATCGGGATGAAATGATGGCTCCGGGTTTGAAGAGAGGAAATCAAGATTGTCCTGGATAATACTGCTCCACAGATCCCGAGGAGCGTCCAGGGTAAAGGTAGTATCGGGGTCGCTTCCTTCGCCCGTATCCATAGGTTCTGTGCAGATCAGAGTCTTGTCCAACAGACACGAAAGCTCTAAGCCAGCTGTGTTCAGTTCCGGCGAAGGCCACGGCATGGACGTAGTATCCCATTGCTCTGACCAAATGTTGCTTTGAATCCACGAAGTGATGAGTTCTTCATTGGGCTGAACCTCAAGGAGTGTATTCAGGCTGGGGGCAAACTGATTCAAGGTCGGATCTGGGACTCTGGGAGTGTCAGAGAGCGCAGCGTTGCAGATGAGGGAGGTGACAGTGGGTAGCTCGGTGGTTGTGGCAACATAGCCGGGCACGCCGGGCATGCCGGAGTGTGATGAAACGTGATGCTGCAGCTGGGAAGGTGAAACATCTGTGACGCGATGACGATGAATTACTAACATTTCTCATAGCTTCTGAAAACAACTTACACATTGGCGGTCTTTCTTCCAACCCGGCTCCATATCCTAACATGACAACACCTGGTGAATTCAACTCCGGAGCATCTGCGACATAGCTATCAGTTGCCCATCAACGTGGTGGAGGATTTCAAGCTGTCTGACCTGCTGTAGCAGTCTTAGCGTTAACGTCTTGAGCAGTCTCAGTCTCCTTTTCTGCTGTATGTATCAGTATCCCACCTCTCATTGATGTTGCTTTGACTACGCACCTTCCTGCGATCCAAGTACTTTTGTCAACGCACTCAATATCGCCTCCTCTGAATCTAAATCCTCGTTCGCTTCTTCCTCTTCCTCATTCTTTGTCTGCTTCCCGGACATGCGACTATCTCTAAACTTTCTGATCTCGGCGCCATACAGTTCTTCTATCTTTGCCTTGACCTGGGGAGTCGCGTGTTGAAAGAGATCCTCCGCTATTCTCTTCTTCATCTGCATCATCTTTCCAGGAGTAATTAGTTGACTCGTATTCTTCAGGTCGACAGTCTGTGCTGCTCCATCAGTATCGGGGTCGGTATTTGTCTTGGTGTTATCCTTAGCCTTTCCCTTGTTTGCAACAGCGCTGTCATCTTCAGTATCTCTATTCACCCTGCTCGTACCCTTTGTGCCACCGATAGCAAGCAATCTGGCCTTGAGTATCTCCTCTTCGGCCTTGCGTATCTCCTTGTCCAATCTAACCTTAAAAACGCGGTTCTCCCTGCATTCGGTATGCATGTAGTGTTCAATAAGTGTGTGCGCGCGCTTTCGCCCTTTCTTGATGATGCTGCCATTCTTCTCGAAGCATTTCCGTGCTATAGTTGATTTGGGAGCCCCAAGCAGTCGATATATGTGAGCTAACATTCGCTAGAGGTAGTTAGGCCAAATCGGTCGCAGAAAGAGAGGACACCAACTTTCTTCTGGATATTCTGCATCTCATCGGTTGCTGACAGCTCAGGAAACGCTTCTCTGAGTTGTTGGAAACACTGGCTGGCGGTTTCTTGCACTGAAAGGTAGCCGAGTTTTCCTTTGACAAACTGTGGCATCAGCACCTCTCTAAGGAACCGTTCTTGCTCTGGCGAGAAAGCTTTTGGATGCATCTATAGAAAGATCCCGGTTAGGAGACTGAAATAGCAAGATATCCGATGAAACGACACGACCCTTTTTCGACAAGGAGCTATTGCGGGGTAGAGTGTTCGAAACCGTCTTCTGGGTCATGTGGGTTTTTGTATACCGCCTGCGAATCATATTTTTTGAGTCATTTACGAATTATTCTGGCAATACCTCTGTGGCGTCCTTTGACTTTCCCGCGGCAGCCAGAAACTGATTATCTAGTTGACGTTTCTGCAGGATGCAAACTCCTACAGTATCCTCCGCAATTACTCAGAAATTATCACTTGTCGGCAAACTTGTGCAACGCACATAAATCTCTTATTGTATGAGGATGTAGAATACAGAAGAATGTCGCAACAAGGGGTGCCGAAGATGACATGGGAAGAGCTGGGGGTTGACTGACAAGACAGCATTGTCTGAAGTGATTATTTGCTGAGATCTTTCGGTGGGAGCGCGGTGCAGGATACAGATATGTTCATTGAAGCGAATTCATCTTACAAATGGCTAAGAAGGCTGCTAGGATCAATCTGTTGGGAGAAGCGAACACCAGCTGCTGGGAAGCGAACATCAGCTAGGAACTTAGCTTCTGGGACCAATTCCGTTTGGAAAGCGAACCGGTTTGTGAGAGTTTTGCAGCTTTGGGAGATGTCCGATCCTCTGTCAGACTGAGGACTCCAAAGTAAGATTCATTTCTCAAGCAAAGACAAAAGCAATGTTCAATCCAGGTAAAATGACTATAAATTTACACTTCTTGGTGTATATTGTACGATATCAAAAGATAGAAATAGTCTGTCATTTTGAAGCTGAGCGAAGCTTCTTTGAGGCTGTAGTCTGACTTTCATGGGGTTCCCTGTTACGTTTTCGAGAATTGCAAGAAATAACACTGTCGTCCTGCTCCAGTTTGACTGGAAAGGTTTTAGATGGGACATTTAAGGGGGAATGACAGACCTTTAAAGGCATCAGAACCTGAGAAATAGTAACAGGATGAAATACTCACTAATCCCGTGTCTCCGGTTGGTGTAAGGTCATCCTTGGTAGAACGTGTATTCTTGCCAGAGCAAAAGAAAGTGAGCTAGTAAAAACCTTCAGAAATGCAGAGCTGACCTCGTCACTCTCTGGTGGAGCTCTTGCAGATGCAATAGTTGCAGGGGTAGTCGTAAGAGTGTCAGTCTGCTCTGCAGACGTTAGAATGTCTTTGGGTGCTTCACTCGATTCTATCACACTCAGAAGGCGATTCCGAACTGTGGAACGGGTCGTTCGTCCCTGCTTCTGGGGCTCCTTAATCCGACGAGGCTGAGGGGGGATAGACAGAATGATTGTTGAATTGCGGGCATCAGACTCATCAGCCGAAGGTAGAGAAGAGGAAGAGGGGGTGTTTGATGAAGTGGCGAAGGAAGAGAGTTGGGCCAGAGGTTCAGAGTGATGAATACGAAGAAATAAGTCGGATAGCATCTGCGAATATAAGTGTTAGTGTACCCACAAGAAAGATATCCTAAGAAAATCCCATACAACGAATGCTTGCCTCTTCCAGAGTCTCATTTTTGCAGTGTCGCCTGGATCTGAGGACAGGACACCTAGCTTCGCACACAGTGGGCGCCAGAATTGGTGTGTGTAAGCGACAAAAAGACCAAAGAGGAAAGAGTTAAGACTAGTAGGATTCAGTCTTAGAATAGTTCGGTAAACAGGAAGGATTGTCTTCGCCCATTCTATCTGGGCTTGGTCATTGTTAATGGACATTGTGGAAGAGAAGAAACAAACGATTTTCTGAAATTAAACTGATGCCTAATATGGTGACATAGAGCTGGGATTTGTTACTGGAATGCGGTGAACGCACGCAGAAGTCTCATGATGTTCATCGCGAAAAAAGTTGTCATACAGTCTAAGTGTTTTGGGGGTCACGCAACCTCAGCTGTGTCCCTGTTGATCATGGGAGCTGGAGTCAGAAAATAATGTGGATAGTGGGGGGATCCACATGAGCGACTGTTTGGGGCAGCATATTAAAGAGTCGGAAATGTTCTCTTGTCGGCAGATTCAGTACCAAGTGACATAGTCTTGTAACACAGGCAGTAAAAGACAAGCGCAAGTGGTCCATAAAAAGCTGAAGAATTGAGCAAAAAATATGATTATAGGGTTGACAATGTTCCAATGATCTATGACATATTGGTCTGAATCTCTGAAAGAAAAATCAACCGTAAAAAACATCGCAGTAGCCCTACTCGCCAACGCTGTGTTGCTCAACATCACTGGCTCCAGATATTCTGACTTCACCTTAGACAAATGTCCAAAAGCACAATGAATATTATGTTCCAACAATGCCAACAGGGAGCCGTACTTGATTGTTCGAATGACCTAGTCAAGCCAAGGAGAAACTGCAAATAATCCAAAAAGATCAATCGCACCTTCAGCACCCTCGCCAATCTGAACCACTGTCCAGAAATGCTGCTCTGCCGCAGGACAGATGTCCATGAAACGAAATATTGAGCCCAATTTCCAGTTTAAGCTCAGGAGCGACTGGTTGACGCCGATTTGAGTGCGCGGCTGTAAGCGGAGATGCCTTCTTGGATTCTGAGGAACAACGACACGAGTACCAGAAATCAAAGGAATACCCTGAGCTTCACCTTTCTGTCTTAGCAGCAGGATCCTAGACCATCCCGTGCTGTCACATCATTAGACCTAGTAGAAGAAATATTATTATTACGAGCACCTGGTTGCATCAGTCAGAGGAAGCCGCACCTCAAGCTTGCTCATAGTAGTACAGAGAATAGTTACACATATCCAGGACCCTATATGCCTGTCTCATCCCCACCCAAGCGTGATAATCCTTCTTAGTAGGATCTATAGAAAACATTGTAAGTGCCAGGAAGTAAAGCCACTGCCATAACGCTTCTGTTAACGATGTGATGGTGCAGGAGTATGAATTGCTCATACGGGAGGCTGGCGATGAAGAATTTGTGGCAGACGAAAGACAGATCGGCTGTACACGTCGTCAACATCTGTTCACAGAAATTGGTTAAAACGTACAGCCAAACTGGGCACTTTGACCCAAAAATCCCGGAGGCGCACCATCCTGATACTTGAGACGAAGTTGGTATCATTCGTGCTATTACAGTGAAGGTGAGCATTTAGCTGTCTCCAAATCGTTACCGAGCGCTCACGATCTGCAGGAAAGCTCCTCTTCGGGACGTCACCAGAAATTCCTGGATATCCAGGTGGCCAGAAACGCCAAAATACTCGCCACCAATCCCAAAGCCGATGTAGAGAAACCTAAACATCTGAAAATTGATATGCCTGTGCGCTGGTCATCGACGTTCTTGATGTGTTACCGCGGGGTCCTATTAAAAAAAGTCAGTATCACTTTATTGCGAGGAATGACAAACTGACCAAGCTCACAGGCCGTCAAGTGATCTGTGAACGAGCTTATAGAGGATGAGAAGGACGGGGCCAAGGTTCGAAAGCTCGAGCAGCTGAGAATGAGTAGCGAGGAGTGGAATAGACTGCTGGCATTTACCAAGCTTCTTTCGGTGCGTGATAATTGTAACGAAAGTGATTCCGGCCAACTCCGACCACAACTCTTTGACGACGCTCAGCAAGAGTTTTCCGCAGACGGGTATCCTTGTTTGCATCTTGTTCTGCCTGCGCTTGAGAAGCTCTACGCAAATCTTAACCAGAGACTGAATGTAACAGAATATGCCCCATTCATTCTGGCAATTCGTGCGAGTCTTGCTTCCCTCAAAAAACACTACTCTCGAACTGAATTATCGGACGCGTACATTATTTGCACTGGTAATCTTATTAAGACTTTGAATCTGTACCCTACCCAGAAGATGACGTGGTTCAATCGTGAATGGGATGACGATGCATGTGAAAAAGCATGGTCTCTTGTACGAGAGAAGGCAGTTTTTCACTTCAATCTTTCGGTTGATGGTTCTGATCTCTCTTACCGGTTTAAGTCGCGTTTCGAGGCAATGTACGAAAAGGACGATGGGCCTCCACCACCGACAAAGACGTTCAAGATAAGGTTGCATGCTGACTATCGCAGGGTCAGTGTTGCCAATCATAGAACCGTGATTCTCTGCAATTCTAGGCCCTGTTTCCGCAGCAAAATCCGTTTATCTCATTCAAGGAGTGGCCTGAGAGTGCTGGTCAGAGGCGGTTTAACAAAGATGTGGAGATAAGAGGGGAAAACTTACCGTTTGTTTGCGCGGACGTCACCATGAATAAGTATCCCACTTGTCCGAACGAGACCTTACTCCCTGGATGCTCGTCGAGGGATAACCTGGTCAAACGATGCCCTGGTGTTTTTCTATGCCATACCGCTCTAAAAGAGATGGTGCCATGCAGATTTTGATGTCAGGCTGTGAACCGGTAAATGAGGGTGAATACAGAATGGCAGGACAGACTTACGATCCCCAGACGTCTCCCTCCATCGTCGCCTCGTCTCGCCCTCCGAACAGTCCTGGTCTTGCTCGCCAGACGGCAATAGATCGCTTCAGCACAAAATATACCTTGTTTTGAGTTCTTGACGTCTTCATTCGAGAGAGAGTGCTGTGTGAGATCAATTGAGCTGAGAAACGGGTGAGTGTGCATGAATTTAGATTAAAAGGAGGACATACCATCCCCGAGGCGCCTCTGGCAATCTCCTTCAATCCTCCATACGCCGCCATCCCATCCTCTACTCTCGGGTCTTCGCACCGTTCTGGCCTTGCTCACGAGAACACAGTACGTCACATCAGCGCAAAATCCAGCTCTGCTACCTTGCTTGATGCCAAACGTGAGCTCTTGAAGTCTGCATTTAAGGGAGAATGCCATTGGATCCATTGAGCTGAGAAGTGTGTGAGTTTGCATGAATGCAGAAGTAACGATAAGGACATACAATCCATCCCCAAATGTCTCCTTCAATCCATCCCGCACCGTGATCCTCGCCGTCACTCCTTCATCTTCAGACAGTCATCTTGGGGCAAAATCAGCTTCGAATCCGTGAAAAAATGTCTAGCATAGGCGTCGAACGAGATCGGGCAGTTGTCAATGGCCGACCAGGCAAGATTATTGATGTCTGCGATCAAGATCTGCCGAGAGTGAGCTTCCTTGAACGCGTGCGAGGTGTGTGCGGACTTACCACTCTGCGCGTTTCCCAGTCTGATCCAACTCCCATACACATCGCCATCAAGTATAACGAGTAAGATCCTGGGCTGCTCGTCAGATAACAATACATCGTCTTAATCCAAATTTTGGTCGTCTACCTTGTGGCCGTGGCAGCATCTGCAACGTGAGGTAGATGGAGGGAATTGATTTACATTAGGGAGAACTTAGTTGTTGAATACTGTGCTGGGAAGATGACTTTACTTGCCATTTTCAAGGAAGGCTTTCAGAGAGATAATCGTGAGCAAGAAAGCAAAGACCCAAAAAATAGTGATGGTGGTAGGAAGAGAAGAAGCGGGCGCGTGTTGCCAATCACCAAGCCTATCGGGCCGTTATGTAATACCCGTTACATCAGTGTCATCATTTTCGAAAACGGCAATAAACAGCTTCGTTGCCCAGGGATATTGCCTTCATTTAGTCTAATTCTTCATCATGTTTTTTTATGGTCATCGACGCCCATCTCGATCCTGCGCATTCCTGCACACAGTCTGGATCGACGTCGAGGGTACAAAGAAGAAGAAGGGTTTCACTGTAGCTCGTAATCATGAGGAGAGAAGGGAGAGGGAGAGGGAGAGTATGCTGAAGGAAAGAGTGGGCGAGATCATTGAGGTACGTGAATAAAGGGGAAATTCCACTTGACGCTGACAGTCAACAGAACTCTCTAATCTGTCATTACATGGACTCGTATGTGCCGTGGCTTGCCAGCGGCCGGCCTTTCAAGTCTAAGGTAGTGGACCTGGCGTTGATTGGACCATGACGGACTACTGATACGCCTCTTCGTTGTCATTGGTTTGGCGGCAGAATTCGTGGAAAAGGGTTTAAATATAAGCAGAGTTGGAAGCCGCTTGGTCCTTATAGAGCAGTGTCCTGTTGTGACACTCGAATCGATGAAAGATAGCCTAATAACGGATGAAGTGGTGGGCCGTCGCGGGGCACGGCATATCTGAGTCCTGTAGGAAAAGAGGGGAGAGAGGGTCCAAGATCACTATCGTTCGTTGGGGGGTTACAGACGAGATACCATTCTCCTTTTGTTTGAGGCTTGGGTGAGGGCACTGGAGCATTGCCATGTCATGGCATCGGTTATTGAGGGTAGCCAGTTGTTGTTGGTGCATCCACGGAAGATACTGTTGTTTGACCAGGCAGACTTTCTTTCGACAGTACGGTAGATGGTCTCGACAGGAACTGCATGGAGACCGTCGAGGGTAGACGAGGTGGGTTTGAGTAGGACGCATTTCTGCTCGTGTTTTTGGGGCTAGTCTGTTGAAGAAAGTAGCATGAGATAGATGTAGTATATGAGATGCTTACACCATGGCATTTGACATTAGATGCACTGATCAGAATGGGGACCTAACGCGATATGTGTTGTAGATTTTGGTGTACCGCGTGGGTGGCTAGAAACAGGCTTGTTGGATGAACGAGCTCATGCAGCAATCAATTTCTTCCATCTGATGAGTGCACCGTCATTAATGAAGATGGGAGGCTGCCCATAACGCATTATTTACAATTATGGGAGCCTCATGTACAGATGGACATCATTAATGAGAATGGGACTCCTTGAACCGTTGCCAAGTTCGATTACCCACCTATTTATAACCGTCCTTCCTCTAACCGTCCTTGCTCATCGTCTCGGACGACATCCTAGCACCAATCTCCCCGGCGCCCCGCTGTTTGTCCCAATCCGGATTTTTTTTGGCTAGGCACATCTCGAGCAAGGGATGTGATCTTAGATGACGAAGCTCGGTACCTGCTTCTCATGGACTTACCGCCAGCTGTCTGAGGCCCAATGTTCGTTTGGTACCGTAGCGTAGTATATTAAGTAGGTAATATGCACGTAGTATGGACTCTGGTTTGTTTCCTTCTTAGGGACAGTGATCAGAATAAAAACTCCTCCTCCTCCTCATCCATCCCAGGCGATGTTTTCTGGGGCTATTTTCCGGGTTATATGTCCTTTGGATTCCTTGAGCTATGTTTTGTTTTTTTTTTTGTTGGAGGGTTATCCGAATTAAAATACATTTTCACTCCTGCGAGTACTATGACACGCAGAAAACTTATTTTCACCCCTGCTAGATGCAGCAAATACGTATTGTTTTCAGGGACCCGAGATCTATTTTTACCACAATTGCCTTTTACTGCCATCCCATCAGATAGACGTGTGCGTCCACTTTACCAGGTCCAGCCACTGGCTCCAGGACTTGCGTCTGCAAGAAGCAATCCTTTCATCGTTCTCCGCATCCGTTGTGCTCCGTTTCGTTTCCACCGTCAACGGTTACCTCGGAACTTCATCGTCGTTGACAACGACCCTCGTCTCGCTCACCGGCAAGCACCACCACTCAACGACAGAATATGGGCGTCCTCTTGCGTGTATTCAGGTGAGCCGAGGAGGAGGAGGGTATGGCAGGTGTAAGGTCTGACTTGGGGATGGCATCGGTCATAGAATCTGCGCACGCCGGGTTGCAGAACTGGCTTGTGGAGTCGGCAGGGTGGAAGGTACGTACTCTCGGACTTGTTAGTTTTTTCTTGACCTTATTATGCTCTAGATACCGCCGAAAACTATGTCGAGCTGGGAGAAATCCATAGACTGACATCTGCCGAGCGAGCATGACACGCTGGTAGACCTCCGACGGTTGTTAGGGATGAAGACATCACCGTGGCACAACCAGACCCCGTACGCTCGACGGCTAACAGGGACCATCGTTCACGTCGAGTCACCGAGGTCGAAAATAGGACGGGAAAGAGTGTGATCCGATCTGAACGCTCCACGGTCACTGCAGAGAGGGATAGAAACCACCCCAGAGTTGGGGCTGAAGCAATCGATGCTGGAAAATATGGAGATCACTCGACGACAGAGAGAGAGAGCTCACTGGAGATGGATGACGGCGGGGAGGATTTTGGATGGGTCAGGTCCGTTCACGGTGAGCACGACTTTGATTTAACAGGGCTCAATTGATCATTGTGACATAGATCGAGATCCTGAAGGGCTGTACTTGAAGGTGTCTCAGCTGTGGGGAAGGGAATTCGTAGTTTGGCCTGACGAACACGATGCGGAAAACGACATGAACTGACAATTCGGATGGATGACTGATGCCGGACTGAGGGGTGTCTGCTTGCTTGAATGAATGCGGCGAAGGGAGGATAAATTTTGGGAGCTTGCGCTTTTTGGAAGGCATGTTGAGCTCTCCGAGTCAAGTACAAGTTCAGGACGGTCGGGAAGAATACAACGAGGATAAAATTGGCGGAGGAAGATTTGAAATGCACACCAGGTCGAGGAGATTTCTTGAAATCCGAGGGGCCGTCTGGTTGAAGGAAGATTTTTCTTGATGAATATAGCAAGTGTATTTTTAAGATAAAACAACTAAAATTTCGTTAGCTCCAGATGTTTCGCAAAAAAAAAGGGAAATATAACGCACGGAATCGGCAGGGGAAATGTCCAGGATCCGGGCCGTATGCATATACCATTTTCGTGTACAGCTGACGTCTCGCTGATGCCGCCACATTGAGTATGTGCAGCCTGTTCTTTAGGCTCTTCGATGGTTCGCTTAACTCTTCACCGCCCTGCTGAATGAGCTTTTTACGGCCGCACTTATGTTTTCCAAGTGATCCTTCAATGGAAAGCTGGAAGGCATTGTCGGGGTACTTCCTAACTGTAAAAGACATTAGAATGGGGCTCGCCTGATTGTTTGTTCATCGTACCTTTCTCTGGCCCAAAAGCTCCTGCAACGTTGGGAGCTCCGGAGTTCCCGGTTCATTGTCTGACGTTGTGGTATCACTGCTTGATGTAAGAGTCGGAGGTATCGATGAGTCGCAAGACATCTTCAATGGACTGGAGCTGGACAATGGAGTGTCCTCCGGCGCGCTTGGAGGCGATGAGGGAGGAAAATCTGCCAATAGTTTGTGGAGGTCCTGGGTGGAAGATTCGAGGTCAATCTTGGGTGTCTGTACATTCGGCATCTTGTTCTCTGATGGCGCAGATTGGGCAAACGTGAGGCTGTCGCAGCGGTAGACAGTGAACATCAACCTAGCGAGAGCCTAGCAGTTGGTTGGTTTCAACAGGATTAGACAAGACAGAAAGAAGAGAAAGGATAAAGCATACTAACGTCTATCGATCGCTGCTTCCATTTTTTGATGGATGCTGCATCCCTGCAATTGACCGGCGCACCGAGTGAGCAACCAAAACGACCATGATACGCAATAAAAAGACCGTTGAGAAACGCATCAAGGATGGCTTGCCCATGCCCGCGAGCAGTATGGTATGCAGGGACAAGAGGCCGGGCCCAGCGTTCTTGGGTCTCGAGATCGACCTGGATTGAAAAACGTTAGGTATTCGCCGAGGTAGCGAGCGTTGAACATATGTACCGTGAGTTCATGCGTTGAGAGAGGGAGTGTTCTGGAAGAGGCGTTGAATGACGGATGAGAAAATTTGTTATGAGGAAGCACGAACCGCCGGGACATGGATAACAGACCTTGCGGTGCGGTTCATTCTTGGGAAAGACGTTGAAGAGTGCTGTTCTGGAAGACTTTTGAGGGGTGGCAGGGGACTTGGGGAAGAGGCAGGGCCAGCGTGGCGACAGCCTTCTAAAAAGGTGTGGGCAGAGCGTCATTAATGAAAACTCATCATTAATGAAAATGGGATCATTTTCGCTCCCGACTTGTTTACAAAAAGAAAAGAAGCATAATTTCTTCGGAGGGGATATATTCTAGGGCAGCAAACCAGAGGAAATGTCGACAGTGGAAAGAAAGTCAAGCCACGTGAGCGAAAGGCTTATTGCGGAAGAATGTGACAAAATGTCTTTTTGGAAATCACGCTGCTATGTCCTTTGAAATCGCACAAGGGAGAAGATGGGTTTGTACCGTCAGGTGTGGAAACTGAAGTCGATTGGCAAGCACCGCCGCTACAGACTTTATGACATACAGGTATGTTTGTTTTTCCCGATTTCTGTAGGTGCGCGGGCTAATTAACTTAGACAGCACTTTGAAGAACGCGCGTGGGCTCTTCTAGCATTGGGGGAAAGGACAGAGGACGGAGGCTGGCGTCGCTGGATTCATCTTTAAAACATATGTATGTTTCTCCTCAGTATGCATGTATGGGTTATTTTATTCTTACAGGACTTGATAGTCATCATCAAGTCAAGAAAGTAATCGACCTTTCCACCTAGATATGGTCTGGCATGGGGCGTTTAGGATGGGAGACGTTAAAATATATGAATGAACATACACGTATGATTTCCGATTTTGTTTCTCGAAGGAAATACCGCCGCATCAACCCAGTGATCGACATGACCGGGCTCAGGTACAAACAGCGAAGAACGTGAGCAGGGCAGTCCTGAATAGCTTCATGATCTGAAAGGCATGCGATGGTAGAAGCCAGCGACGTATTGGAATAGTTGGCGGGACAGCAGCGGCGACCCACAACGAGGGGAGAGGCGGCCTGTAGCAAAGGATGACTTGTCTTAGGTAACCGTAGGAAAGACTGGTGACTATGTGCCTCGTTATTTAAACTTAACAAGCCATAGTCGCCATAGACGCCTGGAAAACTCGTCCAAGGCATGTAGGTATCTCCGGGGTTAGCAGCTACAAGAATGAGCTTTGTTCTTCGCTAAATGGAACAGTAAGAACTGCAATGTCCTCTTTGGAAAGAAAAAAACATTGTCATTGAAGAAGCTCAAGAAAGGGTTATGATATTGAAACAAACAGTATTGTTACAAGCCTAGGTAAACAATAGTAATCTAAGTACTACTGTGTCGACTTATGGGATCAATCAAGTATTAGTGAAGGACAGCAAGAGAAAGGGAAGACGGGCTAAGTAAGAGGTAAATGAAATGGCAAAAATTGTAACAAATAGAAATCAGGCATGGTCACATACAAATTTTTGGCGGTACAACTGTGAATCCACTTCGATCACTGCTGCATCATTGTCCTTCGGCGGGACAGTTCATAAGATCGTCTCGCAACACCAGTAAGGCCTCAGCTGCAAGCTCAACTGAGAGCTCCTCCGCCAGTATCCTATACCAGGTGCTCGCATCTTGTTGTGAGAGACGTCGAAATTTATCAGCCCAGTGGATGCCTAGGTCATACTGACGAGCAAACCTGCAAGTAGCAGGTCCTATCCCCACATAATCTGAACTGCGGTAGCCGGTTTCGGGTCGCTGGGGGAGGGCAATATGCGGGAGCCTGAAAGGTGAAGCCAGTGGTAGGCGAGGTGCAGGTGATGATCGATTGGTCAATTGTTTAGGGAGTGACAATGCCGAATTTGCAGACACAGAACCCAAAGAGGTGGATAAGTCTGATTCAGAGTCCAAGGAATGTAAAGAGTTGGTTGTCTTGATGGGTGTGGAGGTCTTCACCTTGTATTCTGGCATCTTTGGAACGTTCAGGGCAGAACCCTCGGCTGACACTTTGGACTTCAACGACAGCGCCCGGGAAAGTTTGCGGATCTCATCGTCCTTCCTCCTCAGCTCCTCATGCATCTGGGAAAGCTCCCTGGAGTGCTGCAAGGCCATTTCCTCCCTTGAGGCCATTTCCTCCTCCCGTAAAGTAGTAATCACTTCCTGGAGTCCTTCTACCTCTTCTTGCAAGCTCCGAATGAGGTCTGAGTACAGCTCCAAAAGGTCATTGTCTTCCTCGTCACTGTCTTCAAGGAAGATTTCGAAAGAAGTATCCTGATGCGAGGTAGTTGGATGGGGAGAAGCAAGAGGGGTAGAGGAGGTAGGGGTGGGCGAAGTCGGACGTGCGGGTGGAGTAGCAGAAGAGCGGGACGGAGTAGACGATACAAGTTGTCGGGTGGGTGAAGCAGGACATGCGGATGGAGTAGCCGAAGAGCGGGACGGAGTAGACAATACAGGGTGTCGGGTGTTCTTGTACGCATTGAAACGCTGCCGAATACGCTCCAAAGGTTCCTCAAGGGATCCAACGGCACAACCGCGTATAGTGAAGACACAAGAATCCTTTTCCGCAGGTGGCAGCAAGGGGGATCGAGGGTCTGGAGGGGGGATAACTCGGGTTGGACGACCAGTCATGGACCAGCCTCGAGCAGCCGCTGCTGCCTTCCAGCGCTCTGCGCCGCGTACCGCAACCTCTTCAATAAAAATCTGGTTAACTTTTGCAACCACAGCATCAAGTTCGGGGTATTCCACGAGCATATGGGGAGTAAAGTAGACCAATGTTTTCAAATGCTCTGGAACAATTTCTTGTCCCGGCTCCAATGTCCCTGTAGAATGTATCACCATTGTACAGCCGCCAAAAGCCCGGTCTAGTAATGTCGCCTACGGAAAGGGTATTAGTGAACGATGGTCGAAGAGCAAATATGATTTGTACTTACGACGTCCATGAGGCCGTCTATATGAGCTGAACGGCAATGGTTAAATTCTGTGGGAGGATTGCCTTTGGTTTCTGTTTCCCCGCGCATGGTATCAAAGGCCGAGTGAAATGTCGCTCGGCTTACACTGTGCCTCTGGTCGCGATGGCAGCCTGCAGCGAACCATCCAATTTCCATGAGACCAAGCCTAGTCTCAATGGAAGGACGTAATTTTGCCTGAGTCCTGACGATAGATGGGAAATTGAGATGGCGCGCCAAACACCATCGACCCACAGCACTGTAAGTGAGGTCTTCTAAGGGTTTATGCAGCGCCTGCATGGATGTCCGCAGAGGAGCATCGGGATACTGAGCACGAAGATTAGAATTCATCTGAGTTGGCGCAAAGAGGGGGGTGTTTCTGTGCAGTGACAGTTCAAGGCGGCTACTGATATAAGATATGATTAGTCCACTCACTGTTGACAACTCTCTGTGACACGCGATAATCACGTCAAGTCCTACCGGTAGTGCCAAGCCATTGTCAGCTCGAACATTTCCCAGTGTAATTGTGGAAACGCCGCCGCGAGTTGCTGTCGGCTGTCTGAAATACAAAGTGACCCCATAAGGATCTGTAAAAAGCCAATGTCAGCCCTCTAAAGAGTCAAGACAAAGACAAAGAAGTAGTACGGTTCTGCATACCCCATGCCATGGAATATAATTATTATCGCTATCTAGTCACCGCCCAAGAGATATTAGATCCAGTAATATAAATACCAAGGACAATGGTCTGCAAAATGATTATCACATGCTTCCGAATTTTGGAACCTATGAAGGCTAGAAGCAAATGCCAGAGGGCAAAGGGGGATGATTGCGCAGCATAGAATAGTTGTCAGTTACATGAAGCTCGCTGGCAACGCGGGGAAGAACTGTGAAGAACTCCATGCCAAAGTAAGCCATCTGCGGACTTCGCAGCGTTCTAGCTTGCCCATTCAGACGGACCGACAATGCTTGTGCATTTGGTTTTGTTGTTACGTGATGAAATCGATGTTTGTTCGCCACTAGTTTTCCCCTTGCGTTCTCCGTCTTTATCGATGAAGTTGAATCCGATGTCGTAGCAGGGTGGTGACATCTACGTCATGAACTGCCCTATTCCATATTACAAGATATGAGATCCCAACAAGGAAGGACAAGACATCACCTTACTTCTGTGATTTGATACAGCAGTTGCGAAGACAGACGGAGGAGCAATACTGGTAGGCCAATTTACATTTGAAGGAATGAAAAAGTACAATGTGTGCTGAAGATGTCTGTGAAGACACTAGATTCCCCGAGTCCCAATCTCGGTACAAAAGAAACCCGACCACATGACGCCGTTTCTAACAGGCATGGCGGACTCGTCGGAACATCTGGGAACAGGGTGGAAGAACTAAGAGATAAGTACGTAGTTAGATCTTAGTCAGGCTCGCGTTCTTCTAGGTGGTCGCCCATATAAGTGCGACAATGTTATGACTGCATGCAGGTTTGTGAAACAGTGGTCAGGAACAAATGAAGAGAGGCATACTCTATTAAAAGAGATGGTGAGTCGTGTCAGTGATTGAAGCCGGCCGGTGGGGTTTTAATGGGATGACGGCGGAGACCTCGCACACATAACCGGGGGACTTTACATTATGATGGAATCAGATATGGTGAAGATATTTGCAGGCAAAAAAGACCCACAAAAAAAAACCCTGGCTTCCAAACCCGAAATATAAAAGAAGCAATGATGGGTCTGGTATGATTGATCAACGTTAGAATCAAAGTGAGAAATCGAAGGTCAAGGATAGATACCTAGTGATATTAGCTTCCCATAGACCTAACGATTCTGGCCAGACACAAGTCTGATAGCTTCGTGATGTTACACATTGTGTGCGGGCGGTAAGTAGGTAGGTAGGCAGAAGGTTAAAAACATATGCTGTAGCAAATACTTCGTCAGTCGAGATTGTCGACATGGTCAAAGCTAAGATTCCTACCAGAGCAGCAGGGCAGGCGATGGCAAACTACAGCCCTTAGTTTCCGTATCAAATCCTTGCAAGGGAGAGTGCAGACAAAAAGCACCTAGGTAATCAGAGCTCTTTGAGCTCTTTAAACAGACACATGGACAAAAATAGTGCAGCTACCGTGCCGGATCTTTGACGATACTACTGATACAGCCTCAAATTACAAAGAACTGCACGTTGGATACAGAAAGAACATTTCGAAGCCAAAAAAAATATAGGCCAAACTGTCTAGCAATACGTGAGCATATTTAACAGCACGCGCCTCAAATGAGTTTATACCTGCTGTCACGGCAAATATAGAGATAATCGGGATCCCAGAAATATCTCGGTTTCGAGGGCTGGTGATAGTGTCGATGGGAAAACAACAAAAGTGCAGGTCGCGCGATACGATGTCAGGCTGAAGTACCCCCAGTTCCCTGGGCCATCCTATGGGACAAGCATAGTTCAATCCACCACGAGATAACCGCTAGATTAGTTTAAAAGCCAGACAATCGCCTAACAGGGCAGGAGAGTAATGATCATGCTTGTACGTCGTGGTTTAAGTTCAAAAGTGAAAGTGCCGATGTTACATAAGCAACTCAGATGTGAGGCGTGACCGGCCATTATGTCTGCCTATATCTCCCAAACACCAACTCGACCTGCTCACCGTCAATGCTCTGAAGAACAAAGCACTCGGAGAAATGGACCACAGCACAAGTTTCATGCATGTTTTTTCTCGCCCTCCCAAACCCCAAGTTCAATCAATGATAAAAGCTCATTGGAATTCTTGGTAGATCAGTCTCGGATGCGCTATTCAAGAAGTCAAGGAACGACGATAAGGAACCAAATGGAGAAGCCAAAGGTTGGTGAAGACGTCACGAGTGTCCGGTCGTAACTGAGGATTATTTCTTATGCTGATTGCGACGTGCAGATCTGCTATGTGGAGCCAGGCTCACAGCATTGTTCGTACCTTTAGTCATGTTCAAAGCCTCTCATTAAAAACCCCAGTCAGGTTCCATACACAACGGAATATTTCATATTTGTTGATCCTGCCGAACAGAAGGTCAACAAGAAGAAAAGTAGTGTTCGGCGTGCCGAACGGAAACGTTCCGCTCGGCGGAAAGCTATAGCTGTGGAGGAGGCCATGAAGAAAGCTCAGGCTATACTCCAGGGTGCGGATGACAATCACCTATCTGAAGAACCGGAAGCTACAGTGGTTGTTGATTGGAGCGTATGAGTTGCTTTGTGTATGTACATGCCTATCTTTTAATCTCTGCCGAGTAAAATATCCATGGGTAAAATCAAAGGGCACCACCCTTTCAAACGCAGTTGTTGGACGAGCCACTGGTTGCGAATAGCTATCATTTCGTCCAGGTAGAAATTGTACCTGACAAAAATGTTATCGACTTGAAACAAGAAGTGGCACAGGAGCTCACCGATCTGCTGACATCTCTCTCGTTATGGCTTGAAATCTACCATACCATCGATTGACCTGCTCTGCAACTGAAGAGTTGAATACATAATCATGGCCGTCGTGAGAAAGGAGCTCTGGAAATTTTGCGGGATTGCAGTATAGCGCGCAGAATGAATCGCTGTCTTTATGTTTGCGAAAATGAAACACATCTACAGGAAGACCACATCGAGCAAAATGTAGATCTCCAGTGGCAGTCAAATGTTGGAGAAGTTGACAGTTGTTGTCATAGAACAAGAAAGACGGCATTGCACCAGGATACTCTGCAGGGAAAACACTTTTCAGGAAATTCTGAATAAAATTAATCAGCAGAATCCAGAACGATGTGATATCTGCACCTACTTTGACTTCCACAATACCTTCTGAGTTATACATAGTAGTGCGGGCTGCAATAATACCACAGGCATACACCACGAGCTGATCATTATGTGTCACTTTGCGTGCCACGTATTTCTTAGTATGGAGATGGGGAGATTCATCATCAGCAGAAGAGGAGGCGACTCCAGCTGCATGCTCGAAATGGCGTAAGTTTTCCATAATGGACTTCCTCGTGTTTTGTGGCAATGCCTCCTCGGCAGCCATGTGGTCTGGATTCCCACAGGACATGCATCTATGAAGGCGACGGGTGCAACAATCTAAAATGAAACATTCTTCCCCTTTGTAGCTGTGCTCTTCACAGAACTGACTCTGTGAATTCTGGAGTGGTTTCATACAGACACCCTCAATGGTACATCGGTTATGACCAATAGTCACACCGTCGGTGACTCCAGCCGTACTAAATCCTAGGTCAGAGGTGAGCCGCTGTGCCAAAGAGCATGAAATTGAGTACCCACGAGCAACACCATCTATGCGGGTCATCTTCATGCATCCCTTGCATCTGTGCGCCCACATTTCTTGACCAGTTCCGCGCATTAGATGGTTTTGGAGGCGGAGCGGGGGCAGCAGTCTTGCATGTAAATCATCATGGTTAGGCGTGACGAAAGGAAATCCACGTTCGTTGAGAGAATGCCAGCAGGAAAGAGTAAAGAAGGCATCGTAGACAAGCCGTGCACCCATTTCGTCCTTCAGGCGTCCACCTGAAATGCCAACTCCTGTCGGATGCGCCAGCGCAGCATTATAGATGCGGCAGATACTCTCCGCAGATGCACTGGTAGAGCAGGCAATAAGAGACAAAGCCGCTAAGCCAATGCAAATTTTACCCACTGGGAGAACGCCATCTGGGCCTGGAAGAAGTCCATAAGCTCTCGGTGTACCCATTGACTCTGAGTAATTTGATATATATCAGACGCCATGTAGTCTTCATAAATGCGTCGAGTACCATCTCTATTGGTTTCGGTGTCATGGTACTTTTCAACGCGATAGTTATGATAATAGCGAGTTTCGCAAACTGAGTGATAGACTGAGCGTGCGCGACCAGACCGAAGCAAAGAAAAGGCCTACAACGACAATACAGATTCTTGGGGCTGATGGGAAGTATTCCCTGGCATAGCATGTATAGACGAGCTATGACAGAACGCTCCTCGGTAAGGCGGTGTCGTTTCTCCTTACACAGCTCGCTGATACAAAATGTATGCTGAGGTCGAAGATGTACCGCACCTCGGATCATATTCAAGCTGAAAATCACAGATCTCAAAGGTATACCACTTACCAATGCCAGTGGGTATAGCGAAGTTTCGAAAAGCATCATCTTCTTCAAAAATAGTCGGTACACGAACGTGAGGTAGGATATCTCGAGTGCATTTCCACAGAATCTTCACCAATTCAGGGGATAGATCAGTGGAAAGTGAAAGAAAAACGATATAAGGTGGTGGTAAACCCAACGTTGAATCGCGCTCGATCGCAGGGAGTAGCCGCAGTGAGATACAGATGAACCAAACCAATTTGGACGTGTCGAGGTTAATCAGTTGGTCAATCCCAGTTGCACGAAGTCTACTTGAGACACTTTCCAAAAGCCCGACAGCAGATACTTTATCCATGATGACAAAGAGAAGGTGAAAGATATCTCCCAGAGACGATGATCGGTTGCAGGGATGGCAGTTGCCGTGTCCCCGATTCTTTCCGACAAAGCTAGAAGCATCCTTAAATTTACACGTAGCTAACTGAGATGCCAATTTCGTGCGCGGAGACACAAAAAGAATATAATCAAGATACAAGGTTTTTATAAGTGCAAAAATCTACTTGTTCAAAATGGCACATTCATGACCTATTTGGCCGAACGCTGAGCGTGCTTGGTCTTGGACGTTTGCTTGGGTTTGGGTAGCCCTGCAATGATGGCAGTGGTGATCTTCCTCCCCTCTTCCAGTCTCTCCCTCTTCTTCTTCTCTAACACACTCTTCTCCACCTTGGTCAAATGTCGCCGTCCTCCCAGTTTGCCCTCCTCGGCCGCATCCGGAAATGTCACCAGCATGGTATTCTTCAGCTTCTCCATGGACATGGACTTGGTGTCATTCAACAGCACTTGCATTTTCAGATGGTCGTCTCCGACGCGACGTCGGATGAACGTGATACATTCGCACCAATCTGCGAAGTTTCGGCTCTTCTTCAGGAAATCTTTGGCAACTACAACCTTTGGCGGCTTCCTGTCCCATAATTCGCGTGGTATCTTGGGATCGGATTCTTCAGGACGAGTGATTCTAGTGTCAGTGATATTGGTGACCCAGGTGACGATGTTGAATATCTCCTTTTGTTGAAAGTTCTCATGCCGAGCCTTTGAAACTATGATGTCGTAAAACTTGTGTTTGTGGTATTTGTGATGAAGAAGAACGAGCCATTTGTCGCTATTCATTTCCGCCTTTATTGCACGTGAGCGAAGGGGGGCCTGGTCTCTTTCGGAGAGGGCCTTGGTCTTGCTTGAAGAGGTTTCAATGTCTTCATGCTGGTCGCCACGAAATAACTCTGAACGAAGACTGCTGAGGACCGCCTCCTGAGGAGCAGGTGAGTGAGTGGCTGAACTGGCATCGAAACGATGACAATACCTTGTGCGGTACCTGCAGCTCAACCATGAATGTAGCAGAGAAGGAGTCGGTTTCAACATTCTGCTCTAAGGGGAGCGTTTTAAACAGAGACGCGTGAAGGGCTGGAGGTAAGCCATACATGATGATGAGGGATTCTGGCTCGACAACAGCGTCAGTTGAAGGAAAAATATGAGCTAAGTGTTTGGGCTGTTGCAGGGTGGGACCGTTCAATAGAATCCGTAGCACCGGGACTAGAAAGAACAATTAGATGAGGCAGTGACAACTGGACAGGTATCAAATACCTTTACCCGCGCTCAATACGAGTCGAGTGAATTTATGCGAGTTCAGGAAAGCGTCGAAGAGGACGTCTGAAGAGGCCTCAAATCTATGGAGCAAACGATCCTGGGGTCCATTCCAAACTACTTGAGTAACCAGAACATCACAGACGGTGATTGGGAGTGAGCCGATGGAACGAGCACCATCGATAGTTATATGCAATGTGACTGGTCAAGATATTGAGAAGAATTTAGCGATGCTTAGGTCGAATAGCACACCTGTTCGCCTCTCACTATAGGTATTGATACCCAGGCTTCGTGGGGGAGAGTTGGATTGATCCGCGTCTGAATTGGGTACGACTCCCTCGGAACCATCCCAACAAGGGGCGTCATCTTCGAATCGAACCCGTTTGACCCTCGGAGCCAGGATAGCTTCCCCAGATGGCCTTGGCTCCAGGGCAGGGCTGGGACTCGGAGTCAGGCTAGGAAGACCCCTGCCGATAGCGGAAATTTCCTATCCATGGCGTGAAGGTCAGTTTGATCTCGCGGAAGGGGGGGAGGGAATACCATTTGGGCCATCAAATCCTTTGGAAGTGGAAACATCCCTTCCAGATGAAAATGAGCAATAACAGGCTCCACTTCGGTAGGGACTGCCATAAGCCCGACATCTTTGTTGAGACGTGTTATGTCCAGAACCTTGGGCCACGACACCGGTATATTGAGATTTGCAATCATCTGTTTCAAGTCCGTTCTTTTGGGAAACTTCAATCGAGACGCCCCGCGAGGATCTTTGACTTGCACGGTGTTCTTGTATGTGCGGAATAACACCTTTAATGCATGAGATAATGGCAAAGGAACGACGAGGAACACTACTACCGAAAGAACCCTAGGACCAACCTCCTCCCTAGAGAAAGAGGGATGAAAATGTACCAAATCGTAGTGTATTGAAGAACCTACAGATCGGAGTATGTTATAAAAGTAACCATGAGAGGGGCTGCGAAATGCGAAATGGGTTCAATTAGCAGAGCTTACGACCGAAAGCAGGGGTAGACAACCTCAAGACGTCCAACCCACTTATACATAGCGGCGTGTTAGTTTGAATATTGATCCGGGCTGTATTGAAGGAGAAGCAGAAACGAAAGACGCAAATTCTTTGACGTGATAGCAATTCTTTTTCAATCGGTTACGTAATGAACCGTTCAGCTTAGTTTGTAGCAGAGTCGACCAATTCACACTGTTTCACTGTAGTAAGCAACGGAGTCGACTGTTTTACTGTTTGACGAACACATCACACTTCCAGTCTTGGACCTTGATGTCACTAACAATATTGTATTTTTACGGATAATTATTGTTTATCGGCACCACAGTCTTTGGCTTCCCCACCATTCGGTCCAGTGGTGGACTTCCAGACACCGGTAGTGTAGTATGGTCACGCAAGCCTTTTTAATTCTGCCCACTCTCCTGCCTTCATGCGACCTGCTTCTACAGCTGTCCTTTTCATATGTTCAGGGATGGCATTCCATATTCTTCTGTTCCGCCGAAAGGTGCCATCCACGTAGGGAATCTTCTGCCAAAGGAGGATAAGCCAAATTACCATGAACAAGAGGAAAGGACTTTACATCCGTATTAAATACTTCAGAGAAGTAGTACTCCATTCTCCGGGGCAAACGACCAGCAGCCTCATCCAAATCCTGCAGCCTCTGAATTTCTTGAAAACCATACTCCATATCACAAACATACATCGTCAGCCATGGAGACAAAAATCCGGGTTGAATATCGATAGAGTGACCACCGGATCTTGATGCTCCTTCCCTAATAAATGCTATTAACAAACACCGTTCTGGTGGAAATGCGTGAACACTTACCTTAATGTACGACCGCCTGGGACTCTGGAGAAGATATCGCCTGAGGAGGGAACAGCCGCATTGCCTGATGGACCGTCTGCACCACCGGAATCACCGTGTAACCTTCCAAACGGAAAAGCATTGAACTCCAGAGGCAATTGGGGAGATGCCGTGCTGCTTGTGACACTATGACGGCCACCCACGCCACCAGTTAAGCTGCGACGGCCACTCCGGCTGCCTGCGCTGCGCTGGCTACTCGAACTGCCACCACTATGCGATCTCCGACTGGGAGGGGAATCCTCAAAGGACATGGAATCTGTCCGGGAACGCTTTGATGGGGTGGTAGGTGTCGATGTCGTAAATCCAGGAGAAGTAGGGTCTTTTGGATCAGGGAGGCCCAAACAGACTTGAACATCCAAAGTTCTGATATAGAAAGTCTCCCCAGGTTCGACTACAAACGGGCTTTCTCGGTTGGTCCAGTTACCTGTCTCAGGATCATACAGTCCAAACTGCGCGATGTTGACTTCAGGAGCTATCACTTTGAGTCGTCTCACGATGAGATCAGAATCGGCGGGACACCATCGCTGCTCTACAGGGGCAACCGGAGGGTGAAATTCCTCTGGAGGTTGACCGTCCTGCAATATTGTTCAGATCACCGATGTGGCAGAGCTGAGAAATCTACCCACCAAGACGTATAAGACGACGTATATGGTTCGCGCCTGGAGGGGTTGAGGGCTATTCCAGCCTTGGGAGGCGAGAGTATGGAGAAGCATATGAGAAGCATGCCTTCCGTACAGGCCAACCAGGGACGAAGATGGCGGAGGGTTGGCTAATCGCTGTGCAACAGTCCTGTGAGTAGATAGTTTGCACGACGGAAGAGTAGGCTGTTCCATTCGTAGTCGTATACAACAAGCTTTACAGCTCAGATAGGCGCATGTTAGTGCATGTCGGCTAGGAACAGAAACACCTTCTGGGGTCACTTTGAGGCAATACTTGGCTATGCATGGCGACGATGAATCCCGACCCTTTTCGAAAATGCGATGGTGAGAGGGAAGAAATGGTAAGTTCGGCGACAGATCGTAACGCCACAAGAAACCATCGCATTGCATGTTAGTACACTGAAAATGTCAAGGATGTGAATGATATGGAGAACGAAGCAATTGATACATACCATAGAATACCAGTATCCTTTATTTGCAGGATTTCTTTTACCGCTGCTTTTCACTGGAACGCTGAAGACGCTGCCACAGTCACATTGCAATGGATTATCATGCCTATCGTCTTCAGATAAATCTTGCGATTCCATGAGTATAAAGAGACTGGAGAGACACTACTACAGCAGTGCAGTATCGAAGCTATTTGAATGCTCAACACGGCCTTCGGGATCCCTAAGAGACAAACCCGGTGTATATTCTACCTCTGACTGGTGTGGCGCCTGCCAGTGAGACCTCGGGGTTCGGGTCGCCTAGTCATCTCGTGGAAAGGATGGATGAATAACCTCCATTCTATTGTTCGAATATCAAAAGTGTACCAGACTCACCAATATGAGAGCATGGAAAGAAGAAAAATGACACTTTCTGCGAAATATGGCCCAGTCGGGTGCTCCATAGCTGAACCAGTTTGATATGTCGAATGCACCACACGAACACCTCCAATAGCCTTCTCCTGCCCCGCTCGCAGATGTCCAGTGAACGCGTAGTGTGTGGTTGATGGTGGCGTTAATAGGGGGTTTGAATTGTAGATCATGACGCATTGAAGACTATTTTAAGCGCCAATAGCTGATTACAGGGTTGATCCCGCGACGGTTATATTTTGAAATTGAAGAGCCGCTTAGTACCAGTTAGTACCTTAAAGCAAATAAGCTTTGTATCTGTCGGTGGTATATTTGCACTATTTCTGCACCTCACGACTGGCGACGAAATAGCAAGTGGAGTCCATAGATGTGGCCCTCATAAATACGTACGATACATCCTGGATCCGACCTTCTCCAGCAGTTGAGTTCTACGACTAGTCTTAACCGTTTTCGAACTTGAAATTGTATCGATCAACGTCTGTTATTTATTAAAATCGACAACATACCGACTCACAAGGTCCAAGGATGAAGTCTCTTCCTTAGATTTCATCCAAGCATCTAAAAAAATTATTGGCCCTTCTTCTATACAATTTTTGATGTCTTCTAGAGACAAGTGATGTACTAATAAGCAAATAGATTTATCCTTAACGAATACTGTAAACTCCACGCAAGGTCCTCCTTAAAGGCTTCAAATGGATGACAGCGTTCTTGTGGCGAGGAGAGGCAATGTTGAATTTTCATTCTTGAGGAGACGTCCTTATTTAGAGAGTCCTTTGGTTCACAGCTGTCAGCAGCAGTACCATTTTCAGGAAGGTCGACCTGCAATACCAGGAGTAGCAGCCAGACACTGTGAAGACACCAGCACCCTAAGTGCTATTCGTTGATTTAGGGTGGTTAACGAAATTAGTTCTAATCTGCTAGGATGAAACAACATCCATTCTATTATTCAAATATCATAAGTGTGCGGCGCCCATATGTTCACGAAGGCATGGAAGGAAAAATGTCACCTTGTGCGAAATACAAGCCCAACCAGGTGCTTCGTCTGTTACGTCAAATATTTCTGCTCGAACTCCTCCAATAGGCTCTTTCCCATTCGCAGGCGAATACAAAGTAGCGTGTAGTTGATAGCGCCGTTGATAGGGAGTCGATGGTGTAAAGTACTGTAGATCATGATGCATTGAAGATCAAGATTGTTTCAATCGGAGCCGAGGAGGAATCCCACATAATTAAAACATATTTAATCCATTACATATTTTGTGCTCGGATCGGATCAGGTCCTCCAATGAGCCATATCAGACGAGAATAGCTATGCAGTCACAGGCACTCCTTTATTCAACATGTTCAACAGTGCGAGTTCGACAATTTGAGAGGCTTTTGTGAAACACTCATTGGTATTGCTATTTATTCGTATGGAGGAAGAGGCAACGGATGACACTTTGGGGTCGCGAGGTCTCTAAACGTTAACCCTAATTTGAATTTGAACAGCTTCTGTTTCGGTGGGCAGTAAGAAGCAGTAAGTAGCAGTAAGTAGCTTGTTAAGCTCCCCTGACAACCGGTGCTGATTAGTACGGAACTTTCCGAACGCTTTGACCACTACCTCCCCCACCCGCCCTTGGGCGGACTATATCAGGGAAATTCCGAGGAGAGAGATCATACCATCGGGTTGATTTCCACTGGAAACTTACTAGATATTTTGTTATCGTAAATCTCTGTTGCAACTTCGTTCCAAACGACACTCCTCCAACGGCTTTGAAGTGGTGATTGAGCTTTCCTAAAGGAAAATTACAATTTGTAGCCAAACATCTCCAGATTTGTTAGGCTTCCCCGATTCAAACGTGTATTGCGGGACATCGGTGCTTTGTCAAAAGCACTGCCAAAAATTTTACTGCTCACCGATTCGTCCACATAGACAAGTTGGTTCATCACAACTTGCCAATCGTCACCCATGTCGAACTCTTACAAGGCCCCTGGCATCCTCTGCAGTGATGATACCCTCCAAATCTTTGTCTTAACGGAAACTATTGACAGGCCGACTGTCACGGCTATTGATGAGTCTCTCAAAAGATTTGTATACAACGGTCGACATGGCTCCGTGGTAGACAAGTGGATCGCTCAGGTCTGGGGACTTATTCGTCGACTTGGATATTGTTTAATGTCATATTAATATGCAGTCGGAACTCAGACAATGCCTTTCACGCTGGGATGGCTATTGGTGTGTCCTGAAGGGAAACCATTTATTACAAGAGAGCAAGATAACTCCAAGATGTGTTATAGTGCGCCTATGTCTTATCTTTAAGCATAAGTTCTATTTCTGCTTACCACGAAACCATGCAGTTCAATGCCATTTGTAAGGGGCTAGATACATGTCCTGACGCAGATCTACTGAAGCTTTGGTCGACATGTCTATGCCCTTTGGTTCAACATGCCTCCTTGAACGAACATACTTACATGAGGAGTGTTGCGCCTGCCGCTATATGGGTAAGACTAGTGGCATGCCACGCGGGTATTCTGGACCTAGTTTCAGACACAAAAATTGGACAAGCGGAGGTGTCAGAGTGGCCAATATTTGCTGTAGACCGGCCAAGTTTGGTACGTTATTTACTATATCCTGCGGTTGGCTATCCATCTCACTCAAAGTTTTACAGTGTGATTCTTGTATTTATCAGGAAGCACGATGTCAATATCTTGTGGATGCAGACCGACAGGCTCCATGTTGACGGTGTGCCATTCGGGGCCAGTCTTGTACCACAGCTTCAGAACACCAGGGTTCAGTGTCCAGACTTATGGCGACCCTTCATCAATTCAGGGCGTCCGTATCAGTCCATGCAGTCTTGAATGTACTGCGCTCAGCCGACTCGAAGCTATTCACCGATACCCACCGAAGCACAGTTGTTGATCTAGAGAGGTGGTGGGCGTGGCTCCATCATCGGATGGCAATGGCAGGGTTTCCCATTGAGGATGTTACTGTTGAAGCCTTAATGAAAGCGATATCAGACTCACCTTACGTACCCGAGCCACTGCTTAGGGAGTGAACATTAAGCAGCTTTGTATACGTACTTTCTGTCTGTTTCACTCAATACACATGGGATCTAGGCATCGAAATATTTTTTTAGCAGTATAGTCGAAAGCCTGAAACCTTTCGGTGGAGGCCTTTGGTGACCTCGATACGGAGATGCCAAATTTAACTTTGTTCTAACTTCTTGCTACCGGCATTCTAATGCTGTTGGATGTTGGAATGGGCCCGTTTGTTATGTCCCGACCCTTTCTAAGACGAGTCTGACTGGAAGATGTAACACTCAAAAATTAATTGGAAATACAAGACGATGAGGAAGTCTTCATCGTCGACGACGGTAGCACGAACAATAAATACCGGAATGAAACTCGGCCCGAAGAGGCTGTAACCAAGGCTTCTTTGCTGATGATGCCGCACAACTAAAATGACGCGAGCGAAATCCACCCAATTCATATACTGACTATGATAAAAAGATATGTTGTAAAGTCCTACGCAAACTTCACCGTATGATAACAACATTGCAGTGCAATCAGTACTGTCAGAATCAGTCAGACTACTCACAACGCCAACTGTTCACTGATGTTCACGCTTGTTCAGATCGCGCTTGGCCAGCTCAAACAGTTCCTTTGAGTTTGATCACAATGCTTCAATGCCTCATGGGACCTATGTCATATTACCGGCGGTTCACGGTGGAAGTAACTTGAAATGAACTACGAGTAACAACTAGCCTGAGGCGAGCCCGCCAACTCCGACTTTCATTTTCTTAAAGTCAAACAGCGGATGTCTTGGGATCAGCCACATCCGTTTCCTGGATCTCGTTCTTCACAGTGAGGCAGCAACTCAAGTCCTGCATCTCTGAATCGGCATCAGCCTCATGAAGAGTATCACCAAGGGAGGAGCCAGTCGTTGCTTGGATCTACAAGGGTAACAGATTTCAGTGTACACGTATGTGGATTGACCATGCACAACGGCAGCCTCGTGACGACAGGAAAGCGAGACATCATTATCATTTGAAAGAGAAGCTCGCAGAGAGCTCTGAGCTGACAGGGTCATTAGCACCGTTAGGGTATATACTCTTGCCATCGAAAATTGTACCAGCAGACTTCAAACTCAAGTCTCAGGCATCGATAATGGGATGTTCAACTTGAGTACTCACTGAAGTGTTGCCTTAGGGAGACATAGGAACTACAATATGGGTCAGGCTCCCCAATGTCCATTTAAATAAGCACACGTACCAAGACAAGATTTAAGGCCCTGAGAAAAGCTGTTAGCCCGCTCGTCTCAATAGACATATGGATGAGCCGTTGCACTACAGGGGCTTCCGTGGTTTAATGGAGAAAATCTATGACCAGACAGGGAGCGCACCTGTACTCGTAAGACGTTCCGGAGTTCCAGAACCAAGTAGATGCAGTATGAGAGTGCCCGCTATAGAAAGGTCAGCGATGGAAGTCTGATTCTCAAAACATCAGCACAGCAACATCGAAAAAAAGAGAAAAGATATACAGAAGCCAGCCAGCATGTTATCGGCACTGAGAAGTGCGATAGAAGACTTAATCGCTGTTCGACAATAAAAAAACCTGAAACTCTGCAAAAAAAAAAATCTTCAGAAACGTCATGTGTAAGAGAAATGGGCTGTCCCTGGACGATGCTCACGTTATTCCGGATCCAAAGGAAAATAGCATAACTGGCATTCGCTTCAGGGTCGGGCAATGACTTTGTCGCTTCAGAAGACAACGACTTACGTATCCCCAAGCAAACAACGATCCCTCGAGCTCTGGTTAAGAGCCAATACCTGTGACCGAAGATTGTAAGTATGATGACTTTGAAACTAGACAATGACGGGGCGGAGCGTGATAGTTACTTTGAGACTAATCACGCCATCGCTTGAAGGCCCTTATTCACCTGGCAAGGAAGAACGTTTGGGCGGTAAAACCTGTACTAGCAGTCAGACAGGGCTCCATCCACATCGTCCATGACTGGATGTCGATGTAGACGGGTTGTCCAAAATGAAGGACCCCAGTTCGAAAAATCACATGGCTAATGGTTTTGATGAGGCTATTTTCTGGCTTGTCCAAGAGATGACTCACAAATCAAAGCCTTCTAGTGCTGCGTTGAGGATGAAAAGCACCGTAACAATGGTTTTATTGACCACCAGGTCGGATCGCATAGGGCCACCGAAGTAATGGTAAATCTCCAGAGCGACCATGCCAAACAATGCTTGCTGAATGATTATTCCGACCAAGAAGGGGCCAAAGGAGAAGGCAGCGTCTCTGTCAAGGCCGGTTGATGCAATAGTATCGGTCATGATGGGCTGAAAGGAATGAATAAGCGAGGTGAAGGTCGCCAAGCCGACTGGGAGTTTTTGACCAACCTTTGAACCTAAATTGACTTGAAGACATCAAAACCTCGGGAGATGCCCAGTGTTTCAAGCGCGCATTCTCTCGAAGATGTGTCGGCAAGTTGATGGGTAAAGAATACTTCCTCCTGGGGTACTAGCTGATGGAGGAAGTTGATGCCAAAACTCTAACGTGATAGATATGTCAACTGCAACTGAAAAATCAGAAGGTAAACACGAAATTTAATGGCAGTAAAGGAGTACGGATAGGCACAGCGACATTGGTATCAACAAATCAGTGGTACTGCTAGGATGAGAAGTTCAGATCTTAATGAATACGACTGAATGACAACGCATGCTGGTAAATTGGTCTTCGGGAAGTTATGTAGCAACTGCCGCTTTGACCGCGCTCATGGCAGCACTCGGACTTCTCCAAAAATGCATTTAGTCTGAAAGAGGGATAAAAAGAAGACAGAAGAAACCGAATGCGATCAGCGTACTAGCCATAATCGATATCCGTCATATGAGGAACCCTTGTTCAGATGTCGGCGATGGTTCAGCTTTCCATAGTAATGCTGCGTTGGATGGCATGTCTAAGAACGAGTTGATAGTAAAACAGCTACTCACTGGAGGCCAGTAATTGTCAACAGGGAGATCATTATGCGCAAGAAGCAACCATCATTATCATGGTGATGGACACTCCAATGCAAAGGGGTAAAAGAAAGATCATATATCATATATTCAATTGAGGAGAGGAACACGAGGTGGTGCTCCGACGTGGTGGGCGATTCGAATGGTAATCAGGTGCATTGGAGTTGGATCGGACATTACATAAAATGGACGTGTTTTTGTAGGGTGCGATCAAAACGGTACGAGCCTTTCATGGCCACGGCACGTGTGGACGTGGCCATTCCTGATTGGGATGTTGTGCCGGTACCAACACGAACACGAACACCACTGTGTCGTGTTTCGATGGATGCCGAGAATTTCACCACAATGGGCCTGTCCTTTGTATTTTTTTTTGCAAGCTCCTGTGTTTCACCATACAATCCATAATATTTGACCTATCATTCATTATTTGATCAGCGTCCGAGTCTTCAGACTCGTAGTTTGGTCCCAACGTTTTTTCAGCGGATAGCGCCACGGTTGGAAAATTAGCACTGAAGCGAAATATATTAAGACACCTTTCTGGTGTATCCTCCACCCCGATGGCACATAGCACTAGTCCTTCCATGAACACTCCGAAATATGTCCTGCCTGTACTGATTTTCAATTGTCAATTATAAGTGTTGCGGCGACCAGAGCCCAAGTTCTGCTGAGATTGTAGTTCGTGAGGGTGCTTGCACCAGATGAACCAGAGGGGTTGCCGATGTACAGTCGCTTGAATATTCCGCAAGCACGGTGACAGAAGGATCACAATCACGCCATGCATGTAGGCAAACCTTACATTCTGTTGCTGTAAGTAATTAAATTTACGAAGGAGCCTACAGATCATCATGCACACCGTCCTCTCCGTCATCCCAAGCAAATGCAAAAGTACCATATCTTGCACTCTCTACCATGGTCTCCCATGCCCTTTCACCCAACTCTTCGTCCCGAGCACTTTTCTGGGCCATATCCTGCATAATTAGTCTCCATCCTACCTCAGGCACCAGTACAAAATTCACAAAATCTGGCTCATCAAACTTCCACATGTTGACCGTGGAGTTCTGGAGTTCTTGGAGTAATTTCCTCATCACATTCGAAATTATTTGTATACCACGTTGACCATAGCTACACGAAGTTAATGAGAATCAATTGAATATCCACAATTCATGTCAAGACTTACTATCCTGGTTGAGCAAACTGGTACAGCTGTGGACGGTCGCTGGCTTTTATGGCCCCGGAAAATCATGTGGTGAGATAGTTATATGGGACACTTGAGATCCGCTCCTGGGACTTTTCTATGAATCGCAGCATGGGAGCCGACTCGGACAACTCTTTAACACGTTCCTCAAAGCAGTTCCAGTCCACTTTCAGAGGCCAGCCTTGCGTTTCCACTAGGACAAACTCGATCTCCCTCAAATGCACCCCGCAGGCTTTGGCCTGTTTCAGCGTGGAGACCTCACAATGCAGAGGGTTGACGTCGTTGGGTTCCAGGGTTGAAAAGGGTATAACCTCTTCCCAGACTGCCAGCTGAGCTTCGGAAGGAGTACCGCGGGGCAACACTTGGTCGCAGAAGGGACAAAGCGTCTTGGGGTCTACAGTGGTAACATGGGTGTCTGTAACGTCTTCTGCAGGAGAGTTAGGCCAACTCATAATGTGCACATCAGTCGCAATGATTGCGCACCTGCCATCGGTTCAAGTTTTATCAGGTCCTTTGTCCATTCTGGAAAGTCTTGAAGAGGGGAAAGGTATCTGCCAGGGTATTCAGCAGGTGTCATTCCCTTGTCCAATGCGAGCAGGAATCCTTTATTGGCTGTGAGAGTCTAAGAAGATAAGCAAATGCCGGGTGTAAAAGCTGCCTGACCTTGAGCCTCTCTAAGCAACTGTTCATCTATATGCTCCTTAGAACGAGACAGATGACCTCCGACAGTCTCCATGTAGCTGACAAAGGAAAGGGATAGGTTTTGCAGAGAGTTGCCGTAACAAGTAGCAGTTGGAGAAAAATGTTCAACACTTCATTCTACTAAGCCGACGGAGCAGATCAGATGAAGCCCTTTTACAATCGGGGACGTCGAATGGACTGCATGGCTTTTAAGTATGAAAAATACTGTGTAGTCGCCATTTTGACTTTCAATGACTTATCCAAGGAGAACACCGAGTCCTATGCATACAGGATTTCGGTTAGTATTATGCAAACCTGAGCTTGCCATGGGAAAGAAATCTATTTGGGGAATCAATCCATCACGGCATCTGCTGACCTACTTGGCCCGCATCTTTCCGCTAGCTTTCTCCAGTTGTCTCCTACGTATCTTCAGCTTAGCGTGCGAAATTTTCTATTCTGTTCCGCTTCCTTCTGACTACCCCTCCGTCGCTGGTGAGTCGGAGTCGGGATGGCCCACTCTCAACTAGTGAACCATAAATCTTCGCTCAATCTCATTATCTCTTAAGGACTTATCATCAGATGTTAGCTCGTCAAAATTCCCATTCTTCAGAAAATACTGAATGCCACATGAAATTGGTTAACTAATACGAGTACTAGCTGTCAAGAATATAATTGAACCTAAGAACACTAAACATCACAAGTCACAGAAATTGAGAAACTCAACTCATCCAGTCACCTTGCTAGAAACCGCTGGGGCCTTTCCCTTTGCCACTACCACCAGGCTTGGTGCCAAAATTAGCACTTAGGCTCTCTAGCTGAGCTCGGACGTCTGCTAGCTCGCTATGATGTGCCATGAACCTCTGCTGAACGGTCTCGTTATGGCCGGGGGTGCACAGAAACGCCGTTAACATCCTTGTGAGTTCCTGAAATAAAGTCACCATCGCAGAATGAGCAGCGATAACAATCAAAACTGACCTCAAGATTTATGACCCGAATTTCCAGGTCCTGTCTTGATCTTTCGGCTTGGAGATTCTGGACCTGGAGTCAGTTGATAGTGGTCTCTGTAAATCATTAGATGCTGAAAAATGTTAGGTAGGGAGAGTCGACGTACCAAGCTGCTGTACCCTATTTAGGTTCTGAGGAGAAGATCTTTCAACACACAATGAGTCAAGGGAGCAACGAAGAAAATAAGTCCATACTCACCTTGAGGATGTTGCTGACGTGGCGATGGGGGGAGGGGATGATGTAGGGCTGGGGGAAGTCCTGGGGGACATCGATACATCGATATCTTGGGTCAAAGACCCATACGTCGTATTTCCGTTTTGGGGAGGGGGGCTGCGCATAATGTATATCAGACTCGAGGTGCCAAATAATCAAGAATCCTTACTATCCTCCAGAGGATCCGCCGCCATGGCTGGAGAATTGGCTCATGATGGTTTCAATGGATGGATACTGAGAAATCAAAAGTGAGCGCCCGGACAGGAAGTGACAAGTACAGCGTCATGAGTGTGCCTTTTGTGTGAAGAATTGGGTCCTGCAACGAGCTCTAGTGCTTTCGGGAGGGAAGACGAAGATGAACGAATGAGAGGCGAAGGCAGTTTGCATTGTCATAATCTGGGCTTTATATAAGGGTAGCAGCTTTCAAAGACGGATAGTCACCAACTTGTCAAGAAACGCTCTTCAGTGCCAGTGATGACGGGTCATTGTCATCTAAAGCTCGTCGGCCTGACCTATTTCAAATTGGTACGTGGTTCGAGGTGGTTCAGCGACTTGAGGTTTTATCAATAAAAGCTGGAAAAGGACCATAAGGACACTGAAAATCCACTGGCTGGCAAAGAAGGGTGCCGAGTTGTAGCTACAGGTCCGGTAATATTCAGCTCGTCCTTATCCGCGTGTATAATAAAAAAACACCGTGCCGAGTATTAGTGTCAGGAGAGAAGAATTTCCTCCTGGATTGCGCCAGCTTTAATCAAAGTGTCAGGGATAAGTCCTTTCATCCCTTCATCATGTTTGAATCATTGATACAGCGGCAAGATATGCTGTATGTATGCGCCCTTTGCACGGCAAGGAATTAAATGCCCAGAAGTGATCTATGAATTGCCGTTAGGTCAAGCAAACATTCCGAGGCCAGGCTAAGGTTTCTTACTTAAAATTATTACATTAAGGAGAACCGCATGTGGAAGAGCTTCCATAACGACTGATGCTCCTTTCAGATGAATTCGTCGCACAGGAAGTCGCATTCCTTCAATCCGACAACCGTGAGGTCCCCGACGGTGATCTTGATTCTGGACCGTGAAAAAAATTGACACAGTACAACTTCACGTAAAACTGAAAACCTACCATATGTGTTTCTACTCTGACTCATTCTCCAGTAGCTTCGCATGGAAGTTGTCAATGTCACGGATGTATTATCGTAAACCGAGAGCTTTGAGAAGTATCAGAATTCCAAATCGATAATGTTCTGGCAGTTTCCAAACTATAGACGGCGAAGCAAGCACCCTATAACAGTTCCAATATCGCGCAATAAATCAAGACATTTCTCCAGAAGTAACCGCACTTGACTCAATCGCCCCCACTCTTTCCCAGACATCCATTAATGCATGAAGATGCAGATTACAGGGTAACGAAGCCAAGACTGTGCCGTCGGTAGAATAGTAAGAAATACCGTTCTAAGTGTCAATCCGAGCCACGGATACGAAGACATAAATTTATGCCAAGTGGGATCGTCAGGCGGATATCGAAGGTCTGGTAGCATTTTGGATGCACGCTAAGACGGGAAATATAACACAGAACGGGATGCTCCAAAGGCACCTCACATTGAACACAGGAGTATGGACAAAAGGTATCTGTGCATATGATAAGGACGAGTCAAGGTTTCGGCTCTCGGTCCCGAAAGATTTGACTCAGATTTCCACATGGCCGGGGTGACCAACACTAGATACACAGGGAAAAGGACTTAAGTGTACATCAAACTGTAAAATAAGTAGTGTTTAATGTACGACTATCGTTCAATATATATTCCGAAGAAAGTAAAATTTCTGGAGAGATTCTGATGTTTAGAAACCAATCCTGAAACCAGTGTTATACCATATGTGGGTATGCGCCCTATCCTGACAGTCTCGCCCTGTGCGGGAGATGCCCCGCCCACTTCATAATTAGTTTCTGCCGGTTAGAAACACTCCGGAAATTTTACGTTACTTGGAGTGATAAGGAGAATGGACCTAGACTGTCGACGGTGGGACCCCGGAGAATGCCGCCATCCAGCCATATCGGTCCGCCTGTTCTGAGCACAGCTTCCTAGGTGTTCTCTCTTAGTGTGTCGAATCGTATTTGATTCGTCAATCCACCATAATTCATGCTGTCAGACGACCGGAAGAGGATACTTCCATAGAGGTACTTTCTAGGGAGGCAGATCGCGAAGAAACACGAGCCGCAGTGGATCCTCCTCCTGCCAGTCTTCCATCTGCTTCTCAAATGCCCCGCCGTAGCCCTCGGCTCAGGGAACTGAGGCAACACCTCGCTGTCTTTACGGCTGCATCACCATTTGGCTCCTCGACAATATCGTCACCAGCTGTATCAACCAGCCATATATTCTCCTGCAACCTGCGGACTCCGTCTCGCTTGCCTAAACATACTTATCCTCATTGTCACCACCGCGGTACCCACAGATCTGCTGGTACCTCATCCATTCACCATACCGGAGTCCATTCGCCCACCCTATCATCCCCACAAATTACCCGCTGCAAAAACGCAAAGGCTATGAGACCTCACAGTGGCTAGAATGCGGTTGGTAATTTGCTATCGCTAAAGTGTCTTCACCCATTAATGAAATTCCCAGCAGCCAGTTTTCTGTTCACAAATAAATTTCTTTCTTTCTTTCTTTGCTAATTCCTGAAAAGAAGGGTTTCGCTCTGCACGCAAACATGATCGGTTCATTCTTTTACGTCGGCTCTGTGATTCTCCGCTGTTTCTACTACTAATAACCACCTATGAAATTGAACGTGCTTGAGTATACCAAATCCTAGACATCAACGCGCCAGAATGGCTGCTCACGTGCTGATGGCTAGTGCGCATGTGCGAGCCTGGCTCTCCTGCCCAACCTCCATGTCCTTAGTTATATTAACTACTTAACCCCCAGCTAACGTGTTCAATGACCTTGAGATATTATTGGGTTGAGAATATGTTTCCCACCGAATCCGATTGGCATTTGAACGATGTCCTCAGGATGTGCATCTTTTGCAGGGGTGAAAGATAGTTCTTTTACTTCTCCACATAGCAATGTGGATACCCAGACCGCAGGATGAACGGATTGTTCGAATAAGTGTAAGATTGAAGTTATGTGATAACTGTGAGTGGCCTAAGCAGGTCCCACCATGCTCGCGTGCGACTGGACCGACTCATTCGTTCTTCTCCTGTCTTCAAACTTGTAGCCATCGGTCGTTTGGGATATGTCGATGTCGAAGAAAAATTGAAGAGATATATACAACTGGAGGGGATTCTGCCTAAACGTGCTTAATGTATGTGTAGGGCTTGAGACGAGTTTGGCTGGTTTGGCAAGTTCCAGTGTTTCTGTTACTTTCGACGTTGACCACACTACGCTTATAACGACAGAAGCCCGTCACAGTTTCCTTCAATTCATGGAATTTCACTGGAAGCGGTGAATGTCCGTCCAAATTGCCTGATGCGATGACTCGAGAACTTAAACATTTGTGAACCCACTAGTCGGGACATTGCCCTATGTAATGGTCTCGTCCACAGTTGGTTCGTGGCCTGTCTCCCATCCAATTCTGACAAGTCTTGCAATGACGTGCGTGTTCTCCGCAATTATATCCACTATGCGCACCCGATGGAAGATGAACTCAGGGGAGAATACCATCCGATTAAGTGCCAGAGCCTTCGACAGCGTCAGTATATGCTTTGATCAAGAAAGGAAAAATCTAACGTGAAGTCGCTAGAAGGAGACTCAGAACATCGCGCTTCAAGATGCGGCTGTCATTAAGGATTTAAAAAAAAATAGGAAACATGACTGTGTACTGGTCTGCCATCGACGACACCAGGTCATCTTTTGACATAAGGGAGCAAACGTGTAACGGTTGTATAGCAAATCCGAGTCAGTAAAGTCATGACTCTTGGGAATCAGGACGAACGAGGACTGGTTTGAGCTTCCTGGGAAACCAGAAGAAATGTTTTAGCCAGTCATTCGAGTCCAGGGGAGTACGGACGCACCTGGAGATACAGTTACTGTTTTTATTTTCTCGCTGCTGCCATCTTGCCATGCCTTGAGAACAATTCAATCTAGTATCTCAGACTACCCTAAAAATGCGAGTTCATCCGGCAATTTGAAGCTATTGAGTGCAACATCAACTCTCCGGGCTTAAATTTGGCGGCTAGACAGTCTCGCAAAAGGATGTCCTGAGACCACGGATATCGTTTATGGAACTAAGCTTTTCGTTGACTCGGAGGAAGAGGTGCCTGGCTTGTAATTGAAGGTGCATATATGCAGCAGGTAACCTAAAATTAAACATTCTCCATTTCCCCCCTGATATCTATAAAGCACGAAACCCCCCAACTCTCCCTACATAGGACCAAGGTATTGAAGACGATTGAAGACCGCAACAGTGTTTGCAATGCTCTCAGAGCTCCTTGGCATTTTCTTTGTTCTTTCCTTTCTGTTATAGAATGCAGAGTAAGCGACAGTATCCATGTGACAAGACTGGTAAAACGAACATTGGGTAGCTCAAAGATGACTACGGCTACTTTTGCCACATTCTTGTATGGAACACTGTCGTCAGCTGCTTCAGAGAGACGTGCAACTTGAGGCAAGCGTTGAGTGCGGACATGGCGATCGGTGGTAAAACAGACTTACGCTGTAGAAGGTGACGCAGAAAGCATGCGCCAACTGTCAGCGTTGCGGCATCAAGAAATAGTGCTGTAAAATCTTATAAGATCACAGAAGAACGCAATCATGATGGATACTCCGAGAGTGATATCCCACGGCAAGTACATGGGGACTTACACACGTCGGAAGGGCAAACGAAGATTCACAGGATCTGGAGATGCGATTTTGAAACAATATGGATGCTTTGTGATTCGTAGAGGTGGTCACCATAATTGCTGAAAGGGTTCGGCAGCTAATAAAATACGGCTCATCGATCTGTCAGCAAGGTCAAAATGATGATAACTCATCGATATAAGATCGGAAGAACATACATTGCGCCTCAATGTCAAGAGCTAAACATAAGGAAAGGCACTGCTTGCCGCAGGTCATCGATGACTAGAAACTAAGGCTGCATCAAAGACTTGGCACGCGAAATTGCGTCTGAACATCAAAGATGATTAGCGTCACGCAAGGAACGTTTGAAGGAAAACCTACCAAAGTGCGGAGTAGGCTAGTGTGGCATCTAGACTCAGCATTTTGAGAATGGTCGCTCGCATGATACGCGCATACATTTGTTTTTGTTAAGCCCATCCAACCACAACGGTGCATTGCGCTGCTTCTGAAATACGGCCGACTGCTTCGAGAAGGTGCTGTGAGAGTAGACCGCAGACTTCTGTGTATTTGTTGTACTCGCTCCCAGAGGCCTGAAGTTGCCGTACATTCCTGTAAAAATCACATCAAGCCCACAACTAGCTGTATGCTGGGATTAATCATACTTTGGTGAGAACATGCTCAAAGACGAAAGCTAGTCGAACTACAGAGAGCGAAAATGCGCTAACTGAGGACGGAAACGGAGATGGCAAGGGTCAAGACATTGCACTCGGGACAAGACGTGATTGGAAGGCGGCGTTTGACGGGACAACGAATCAAAAATTTCCCATGCAAAGCTCAGTGTCGGCAAAGTCCAGCGATTCCACAAATAGACCCTTTTCCACTGGGTCGTTCAGGACGACGGCATAATAACCGAGTAATCCTATATACACTGGACTCGGAACTGCTACTATGGAACCATCGCAAAGTACCTCTAAAGTCAGTAATCAATATTGTTGACCTCGATTAACACCTCATATTTTCGAAGGCTTAAATCCTGATATTTCTCTTATTTTTCCAGCTCAAGGATTCGGACCAGTTCCCTTGCTCGCGATTTAGTCATGTCTGTACCAGGAATACCATTCTCGATGTGTGCTCCTCTATCCCATGGCAAATTTGAATTACTAGATGTCCTTTTAGGCGGGTGGCATTGCTGCAACTGTGGCAAGTTCCTTTGTCCACCGTTAGCACACCAACAATGATACTTTTCATGATTCTTCCTTGACCACAATGACCAATAGTCTTATCTTTGTTTCCCTGTCATTCCTTTCCTGTGGACAATGGTGCATGCATCTTGCATTGACCTGGCCTACCGGTTTCCCCATATTTAAGGCCTCGATGTCTCTCCCACCCATTCCCCAATATCCTCCTCCATGAGCACTTCCCCTCGTTTAGGTGAGCGCCTTTATATCCTCCTCATTCTCTTTGGCGATGTGTGTAGTATGCGACTCCGTCCTTGGAGACGTCAGAATCGCTGGTTCATTCGCGACTGTCGCCCAATAGTGCAATCGAGTATGCGACTCCGTTCCTGGAGACGCCAGACGCCAGAACAGTTAAACTCACCTGTCAATCGCTGTGCCCAAGTAATGTGATTCTCACATATCATTTCTAGGTTGTACGTGGTCTGGTCATCCGTTTAGAGGCAGCCTGCAGGTCGATATACGCCTTGAGCACCTTGCTCACTCTGCAGAACTCAGAGAAAATAAAAACACCGATGACGATGATGAAATCTTGGAATTCCGTGATAGCGCAGCTGACGAGGCAGAGGGACTGGCAACCACCACGCCGTCGTTGCATCAGGCGCCGTCATTCAAAATATTCAACGCTGATATCGTGAAAGCTCTGTCCTTGCCGTACGCCCCTGACATGACCTGTGATTCCAAAAAGCACAAGAAGTTGAAAGGCCACGCGAGAGCTCGGAAAGTGCGTAAGACGGTGCGCGATGGCTCAGAGTATGCGGCCAAGGCTGTTTCGCAAAATCAAGTCAAGTTCTCCACGCCAGTCGCCAGCCCTATGGCCATACCAACTCCGAAGAAGTCGATGTTCACAGGTGGATCCACGACAAATTCGGCGCGGCACATGTACATGTTGGATGAGTTGCTCGTGATGGGATTCCAGCTAGTAGAAAATGATGGGTGAGTCCTTGACCTCTGTCCCATCAGTCTCCCTAATTCTCAATCTAGGAGGCATATTCCAATCGTCAATCGCACGGGTCGCGTCTTCGCATCTGCATTTGCACAACCCCGTGAGGATAAGACTGCGTGTGACGGTACCCCAACTTGGAAGGCTGTCCATGCTGAGGGTCTTCGTGTGATTCTTGAATGCCGGAACACATGTGGCCTAGGTTTCGCACTGCAGAAGCATCGTCATGGGGACTACACGACTCTCAGTACAGGGTTTTCGTTTGGAGGCGGCCAGCAACGTCCTGGAAATTTCCGCCATTCGAAAAGAGTCAAGAGAGAGCTGGACAGGTTGTGCCAAAACTGGGCGATAAAAAGAATAGCAGGATATATGAATGGTTGGTCCAAGCTCTGTATGCGTGCTACCGAAAATTGACTCCAGGATGCAGGGGCTTTTAAAGTTTCTCAGCCAGAGCTTTTTCAACTGTATGCAGATGCTCTTCAGCAATTATTGACCCGACATCCTCATCTCAGGGCGACTTTTCCGCCGGACGTGTCTGTCTTTGCTGGCGCTCATTTTAATATGGGCCCCCAAACCGTCACCGTCAGCCACTATGACACCAAAAATCTTGGTTGGGGAATGTGCATCGTTTATGTCGATGGTGGCTTTAATCACAAACAAGGGGGCCACCTTATTCTGTGGGATCTCAAGCTTGTGATCGAATTTCCTGCCGGGACATGCATCATGTTACCTTCCGCACTTATTGAACATTCTAATGTTCCCATTCAGCCAGATGAAAACCGCATCTCCTTCACTCAGTATTCTGTGGCAGGGCTTTTCCGTTGGGTCTCCAATGGTTTCATGTCAGACCTGCAATTCTTCGAGAACGCCTCGCCAGAAGAGAAATCGACTTGGGACAGGGAGAGATCTGCCCGTTGGGAGAATGGACTGGCCATGTTGACTGTACGAGTGGATGCTGATCATAGTCACGGTGAGGACCGGTCTCGAGGCAGCAGCTGAACCGCAGCCTGGTAATTCGTCAGGATGCCACGCCTTTTCATGTCTCCAGCTCAAACTAGTTATATCATTCACCTGAGCATGTGGCAGAGTTGTCGTCAAATGGAGACCAATCTCACATCTGATTTTCTACATCTCTTTCTTATTGGGGTTTGCACTGAAAGAACACATGAGATGAGATGAGGTCCGAGCACGTCGCAAGTCCTGTAAGGACCTCGCCATTGGGCCGAGATGATGAATCGTCGTTCTCAAGCGAGGCATATTAACATTGTTCTACTATCCTAAAGCCCAGATTTTTCGAAAAAAAAAATCAAAGCCTTGCGGAGCCAATGCCACACTGAAGAATGATGTAAGTCGAGCATTTTTAGGCCCTTCATTTTGCTAATTTTACCCAGTTTTACATTCCCTGAATTCTCAAGCCAAAACCCTGCAAAGTCCGGTCAGTAAAGAAGGAAGGAAGGAGAATTTATTAGTCGTTGGTGCTCCTGAACAGAAACGTAATGACGTCCGTACTACAGTTAGGTAAAAATAAGATGTACCACTAATCAATGACTCGTCAGCATTCGAATATTCAACCTCTGCGTTCAAGTCTCAGATACGACGGAGCCGTCAGGTAAGTCCTCGTTAGGGTCGCTTCAATGCATGATTTGCTGATTTCTTTTTTGTGTTTGAGGTTCGAAGATTGAACCAAATTTCCTGGACCCCAAACCATGCGGGAGGCTGTATGTACTCACGCCTGTTGGTCTTCAGCATAAATCAGTAGATCTAACGGTGATCAGTATGTATTATACATGATATCCATCAGCGACGGATTCATATCGGACAAAAGGACGAGGCTATCATTTGCGATATACTAACCACTGCACCTGCGAGATAGTATATGTGACTGGGCCCTTGAGGCGTGCCACACGAACACTCTAAGCACGCTCAGGACGTAATAAATTGAGTGATCTTCATCGACTTCCTTTGAAGCAGACTCATCTAGGACTAAACCAATAAGTCGCATCCGAGTCGCGAATCCTCTTCCGCGACACCTCCACTAGCTCCCCTATCCGAGCTTGACTTGTGCGCCCTCCGCATATACCCCTTCACGGGTGCCGATTCTCATCGCCTGCTCCTCTGTGTAGGTAGCACTCAGTCTTCCGGATACAAATTGTAGTTTAGAACACAAATAAATTTATTGCACTATCTGATCAGAAGAAATACAAATCAGTAATGTGGTGAGGTCAAACCAGGGCAAAACTCACCTAATACATTTGGCAGCCTACTGTGCAGCTGCTATAAAACTCGATAGACCCACGTGTGTCCCTTCCCTACCCCTCCTGAGTTCCTTAAGCCTTATCACCCAATCACCCTGGAGAAACAGCCATTAGCATCAAGTCAACCATCTTCGGTGAAGGCATACCATACATGCCACGGGGTCTACAATGTCTTGAAGTTCATCCATCGAGCATCACTCGTGCCGAATGAGCACCTTGCCAAAGGAAAGATCAAGGAGAATATCTAGAGGGAGCGAGCCGAGAGAAGAAAACGTTATCGCCATGTTAGTGTGCACACACCTTAGAGCTCACCTCCACTCCCGATCTTCCCGCTGCATCTGTCCCTGCGTCTATCACCTTCTGACGCTACAGCCCTCGAACATGCTCGCTATCACGAGTCAAACTTTTTATCAGCATCGAAACGAGAGCCGTTGTCGAACGTGCTTACCTGGGCATCCCGGGTTCCTGCAGCCTCAAAACCATGCTCATCGTGTACAGGGTGTACGGAAGCGTTGATGTGGAGAGCCATCCGCTAGGTTGAATGGGCGGAGCTGAGACATTGGCCGAGAAAACCGGAATCGATCGCGGAAGAGTCCGCATGCTAAAAGGACACTTTAGTCAAGTGCTGAGAGTCGAGGTAATGAGGCCTTGGGGGTCACCGGTCAGGCTTGTCGTGTACCTTTGCATACGTGAGATGAGTACTGAGTTATCACTGAGGGTATTAATAGCGAACGGTTACAAGTACTGCTAGGTAAAGTAAGCAAACAGATAAATCTCAACAGCCAGTATATGCACCTCGAGACACATCTACTTACCCTGAGCGTCGCACCTTGTGCCCGTTGTTCTGCCCCATGAGATTGCTGACCCTGCAAGAGAAACCGTTAGCAAAGAATTAGAAGGCAGGCATACGAAACACCTACCCTCCCATTGATGCGGGGTATCATTCAAGACACGGTTCAATACCGAGCTAACATCGAGAAGAGTACTGAGAGGGAGTAATGAGAGAAAAATAGAAAAAATTAGGAAGAAATGAGCTCACCGTTGAGCTCGACGACGACAACATGGTGGGTCAAGAGAAAAAAACGCCCGATCATAAACCTGCCAAAAGAGCAACTTTCGCATCACGAGACCACGACGCGTCCAAAGACGCGAAGCGGGTTTCTCGTTGTGCAAGACGACGAGGAAAGAAATATAGACTCCCTGCATAATAAGAGGATGTGTATTGGAGACGAGGTGAGAAGAGGCCATGGATGGCACGATGGACGTCGATCCTGCGGCAGGAGTACCTGCCATTTTGAACGGCATCGTTGGAACTGCCATTCCCAACATTGCACCTGTTGCTGGTGCAGACCACTGCGATGCCAACTGAGACGTCTTTTTCCGAGGTCCTGATACCTGCCCTGCCAAAGTAGGCCTTCTTGAGGTACGTAGCACACTATTCCAACCGAAAACTCCGAGTAATCGAATCTCGGTTCTTCTTTTTCGCTGATAGAAGCAAGCACAGGCAGAGTCCTTTGACAAGATGACTGACCATCTTCATCACAAGACGATTGGTCTCTAAATGAGGTGTAAGCCAGGAATGGCTGAGAAACAGAGACGTACAAAGAAGAAACTTTGAAAGGAAGATAGCTGACAACAGCCACTTGCCCAATGCCCTAGGCTCTTGAGTAGCTAGTCATCTACGCATAATTAACGCTGCATGTGTGTGTACGTCCTACGCGAGTTTCTCGTTAGAATTCCGAGAACCAGTCAATTCGTCTCTCAGCTTCACGAGAGCTATAGATATCGTAGCTATTCATCCTGATCAGATGCTGTCTGAGTGAGGACGCCCGCCAATCAACTGTCTCGTTCATTTCCAACATTCGGCTGATGACTTTGCAGTAAAAAAAGGACGTACTCAGCGTCGCCGACCCAGCAGAAGCTCCAGGCAAGAGCATAGCATTCCGTTACATTTATTGAACATTCGAAGAGAGATCCGATGGAAGCAGAAGTTTGGATGTTGCTTACAATGGGCGACGGTGAAACGTGGAACCCAGGAGGCTGAGGCTGAGACAGAACTAGTGTCTTTGATGGAGCACGGTTTGTAGACCTGCTCTTCGATATGGATGGCCTGACATTCGATAGGCGTTTCTTAAGGAATAGGTAGAGGGCTTCTTGCACATGTTGATTAGACTGATTATGGTACATAAAACATCCTGGAATCACTTGACATCTTCATCTTCTGTTGACTTGATGGGAAGATCGTCGTCATTGTCGTGCAGTTCCACGAATTGTCTTCAGCTTCCAGCAGCAGAAGATTGTTGGGCCCATTGGTGATGTACAACAACCTTGCCGGATATGTTGCACCATTTTCGAACACGGCTGCATACGTGCGTGCGTGTGAGTAAGAACTATCTGAGTGCCTGAATATTCTTGCAACACAAGTGGTGCATGCTTGAGAATTTCTGCGATGGAAAAGGGAAACATTTCGGGCTTGACTCGGAGACTCGGAGGTAGAAGATGTATCGAATGCAAGCCAAAAGGATTGACAAAACCTAGAAGAATAAGGTCTTTACACAGCAGCACAAGGAGGAGGGCAAGCGTTATCAGAGCAAGAGCCAACGATACAACGTCTGATGGCCAAAACGCTCACGGAGCTGCAGTATTAGCACGGCCGGCCCGGCTGGAACGGGAAAAACACGTGATCCTGCGATTTCAAGTCTCGCCCGGGCAACTTGAACTTCAAGCTTCAATAAAACTTCTTCATTGTCCTCACAAACCCAATGGTCAAGCGAAAGGTAGCTGAGTCCAGCGAGGACATAGTTTTCATTGACGACACGTCTGATGCTGAGCCCAAACTGAAACGTACCAAGGTTTGACATCGCGTCTCTTCATCTGCATATGCAGTAGTTGAGTAATGAGATGAAGAAGAATGAAAATTCAAATGATAAGGACGCGCTATCTACCATGAAGGGGGACACCAGTGCATCACATAGTAAAGTACGAGCACGCCATTGAAAGTTGACTCATGTTGGTAATTTATAATTTCCAGAGAGACAAAAATGAGCCTATTGAAACCAAAACCAAGGCGAAGGTGCGCTGCCTACTGATATGGCCTAACTAAGGTTAACGTGCATACTGGACAGAAGAAGATGCTCAACAACTCGCAGTCTGATGCCGAAATTGTTGTGCACGAGACATTCGATGGCGATAAATACATTGACCTTGGAAAGAAGAAGCGCTTGACTGTGCAAAGCTTCAAAAGCATTCCACTGCTCGATATAAGGGAGTTCTATGGGCAAAAGGGAGACGAAAAGCCAGGCAAAAGGGCATTTCTCTTTCACTGCAACAGGTTCGTCCCTCATCTTGGGTCCTTGTGCCACCTTACTCACTGTTTTCAAGTGGGAAATGATCAAGAACAGCATGGATACCATTGACCAACTCTTTGCGACGTTGGACAAGGAACCTTTTGAGTAGTCTCATTTGCCTTGTATATACTATTATGACCGAATATTCACATAACGCGTAACAACCCCCCATGAACTTGAAGTGAATATCTGTGAGGTTCTCCCTCAGCCTGCTCGACATGATCGCGTGATCCAGGTCGGGACTTGGTAACGGCACCTCTTCTGAACTCCTCAACAATGGACTCACAGCGTCGGACGACCTCGGCTTGAGCAGCATTGATCCGCGGAAGTGGACTTAGGACTCTGTTAAAGGGTGACATCACATGGGGAAGAGCACGCCCCCTAAGAGGAAAAACCGAGCTGATCCCAAAGAGAGTGCCATTATTAAACTCACTGACTCACTGATGCTTGACTTGGGGAATACCCTTTAACATGACCACTTCATTCTCCAACTCTGCAATGCGTCTTTTCAGAAGACCAGTGTGCGAATGAGAGAGCTAAGAATATCCAGCCCTGAGGGGGTGAAGAGACATATGTCAGACAGTACAAAGGAAATGTAACGTCAACTACGCCCCTTAGCGCGCGCAGTCTTGTCAAATTCGAACCCTCCGAAGCCATAGATCTTGTACAAGCCGGCACGCAACGCCTTGGTCTTGAGTTTGAGGGTATCAAAGGGCGTTTCAGCTGGTACAATGAAAATACAACGTCGATTATGGACCTGGAGCTTTGTCGAGTCCATCCTCTAATGAAATGACCCATGCTGAGGATAAATGGGCTGCATAAAAAAAACATGAGTTAGCGCAGAACAGAGTGATTATTAGCTTACCATGCGGACATTACTGCAATAGTAAGAACCTGAAGTCGTTGGCATTTCCAAATAAAATGTTGGCATAACGTACATTGAATCCCCCTCGACGAAGAGTCCTCCCTCCTGCACACACTCCTCTCCGCGAACCTGTGCTCGACATTCTGCTTCCACGCACATCCTCCTTCAGCACTGCATGTGTATCTCTCTTCTACACTCACCGCATGCTGCCCTCCCGACTGCACTTTTCTCTGTAGAGCGTTGATAATAGGCTACCAAAAAAAAAAAAACACAGAATTCAGCAGAGAATAAGTTAAATCATACTTTACCGTATACTTACTGAGACAATGACGTTCAGTGCAGTAGCAAGTGCCGATAATCGTTAGCGTGCTCTAATAAAATGTTAGCGAAAATCGTGTCCAGCATTGCACAGTTGGCATACCATTGGATTCCTGTCGAAGATGAGCTCAACGAAAAAGCCTGTACAAGGTAAGAAGTAGTAAAATCATCGACAGAAATATAGACTCACCACGCTCTGCAGCGAGCTTGCCATCGTCTTCGTGGTGGTGAGAGAGAGGTTAGAGGTTATCATCGAACAATCCGAAAAGGTGATGGCGGTCATGAGGCCAAAACCGCCCCAACTCGGACTTAGTAAACGATGAGGCATAGAGGTGCAAAGAACGGCCCAACACATCTGAAACAACGACAAGAGGGAGAGAACCGAAGCTACACAAGGGGAAGAAATGGCTGTGTCCCAAAAATGGTACGCATCCCGCTTGTACTGAGCCACCGATCGAATCGAATCCAATGCATCCAAACATTGAGCTTCACACAGAGCAGCCTCAATAGAAGCCAGGCCGACTGCACACCCCTCCGTTCGGACGAGTGGGATGATGAGAGAAAGGGAAGAATCTCATATTTAAAGCATTCGTGCATAGGCCGACTAGAGCCTGGGGAAGACGAGCATAATTTGGCCGTGGTTGTTTACAGGTAAGCAAATATTGTGTCTTGAATTTCGAGACATCTGGAAATCGGAAGATCTGAAAAAAAGATCAAAGGCTGAATGAGGTCTCCGCGTCATATTGCATGTGAGCCGAGTTTCAGACACATACATAAATTAATTCTGCTCTTCCCCCTTCCCGCTGAGCGCGGACATTGCCTAGAACATTGCGGGGTTTAGTAAATGCAAGAAAAGCAAATATGCGCACCAGCGAATCCTCCAAACTTCAAGTTGATTTCTGGGCAGGCACGGGACAAATAAACATCGGAGGTATAGCCTTGACCAGGCTTCAGGGATGACTTGGAGTATTACGATTTCACGATTTATTTTATCTTATCGCCTTCATCATAATCCTGCTATGCTAATTTTCCGGACTTGATCGCATTCACCATGCGGGTATCGTGTGTTTAACGCACCGTTGCGGACACCTGTAGTATATTTAGCACGACCCAAACTGTATTTAAGTAGCTCGACTGCAGGTCTTAAACCTCAGTCTCGAACTAAAGTTAATTCACCCGATAACTTAGTCTGAACTCACTCTCGCTCAACTAAGCGATAGCTCCCTTAACGCAAACCTGCGGACAACATAAAGCGCCTGACCGAAGTGCGAGTCACGCTTAGTTGTTTGATCTTGTTTGTTGTATCGGTCGCTAACAATTAGTTCGAGACTTTCTTACTCTTCATCAACAACCACGTTGACGAACAGTAACGAATGAACCCCATCGAACAATATCTCACCAACCTCTTTGGACTACAAGGCTTTGTAGCCATAGCCTATCTCGCATTCCTATATGGATACGAATACCGACGAAATGAGGAGCCAGTCTCCGAAGAAACTATCCCCGTCGAAGCCCCCAACCCGGAGGCTAGACGACCGAACACACCCCCTCCCGACTACGTCGATGACCGACCTATCATCCACTTCATTTACATCACAGACGACGAGTGGATCACAGAAGACTCCGACACAAGCGAGTCCTGTGAGTCCAACACCGAGGTGGAAGGATGGCCCGCACAAAGAGGCCTAGTCGTTGAAGAAGAAGAAGAGCGAGGAGTCTACGAGCAAGGGGTGGACCAGCGTATTCTCTCTCCCATTACCGAGGAAGAAGACGAAGGGGAAGATGAAAGAAGTAACCCCTGGGACGCCCCTTCCCCCACCTCAACCGAAAACTCAGCCGCCAACCCTGGATATGATTCAGACGGACAGCGCCTCTATCAAAGAGGGCTTAGATATCATCTGGGAGAAAGAAGAGAGGCTGAAAATGGAACTGGAAGCAGTTCAGATGAGGAAGACAGCGATGCAGAGGAGGATGACGACAGCGACGAGCTCCCAGGGCCGCGCAACAACTGGTCCCCTCCCCGCCTCGATTCAAGAGGGGAAACGTGGGGCTACCACTACGCCCGCAGTGACTCCTCAGACGATGAAGGCAGCTACCTTAACCTCGTCACACGACCAAACACCCCGATCATCATCAACGATAGGGCCGGGGAAGCCACTACCGAGCTCGACCAGTGCGAGCCCACATATGACGCCGACGCCAGCTGCGATATATGCAGACGCACACAGGACTACGCCGACGCATGGAGAATGTACGAGGGAATCGAACCCCCCGCATCCGTCGTCCCCTACGCCATCTACCCACTCGCGGCCGAACACCCCCTTGCGGCCCCCGTTCCCTTCATCGCACCTTGGGTATGGGACCGACCCCGAAGACCCGACTTTGATCAGGTCATCCTCAGGGTCAATGAGTGGGCCCGAATCATCAGAAACTGGAACCGTATCGTCACAGGAAGCACGGAGCCTTTCGAGCGAGTCCGACCTATCGGACTTAGAAGAAGGCGAAATCTACGAGAACCCTGGAATAGGGCGGACTTCGACTTACAGCAGCAGCATAGGGTCGGAGAATACGGAGAGGAGGATATTATCCCCGAATTCGTGGAAGGATCTAGCTCGGGAGCCTACTGAGGCCGAGCTAGAAAATATGACTTATTTGGAAATGTTGCGATGGACTGAAAAGAAGTTACCACGGGAGCTGTCTTGGAACAGCTCGCCGCAAGGAAGGTACTTCCAAAAGGAAAAGAACTCCCAAGTTGGGGCCCAGGTGATCTACCGAGAGACCGTTTTTCACACAAACATTCTATGGAACCAAGTACACCCGGACGACTACACGGACCCCGGGGAACGATACCAAGTACCCGATCCATCAGAAACAAGCGGAAGCACGGTAGATTTAAGTCACCTATCGATCCTCCGGAGAACAGGGTACGTCGACCCTAGCCGACTGTTTGCAGCCGCAGGAACCCCAGGAAGCGCAGGCGCCGCAGCTGCGGCACCAGCTCAACCCGCAGCACCAGCCCCGGCGCCACAAGGTCCCCTGTCTCCTCATCACAACCCCGCATTACGATCACTACCGAGACCCGCGGCAATTCCTATTCCCGCAGACCCTGTCCAGCCACCCAACACGCCACCACCGTTCATAGTAGGAGTGGCCAACACCAACCCGTGGGCGCAGGTGAAACCACAGCTCGCGGATCCCCCCGAAAAGTTCAAGGGGGAATCCAGCGATGTGGATCGATTCCTCAACCAGTGTGAAGACTATTTCAACGTATTTCCCCAACAGTTCACTATGAACGCGCACAGGCAAAGCCCTAACCGAGTCGTGTTCTGCACGTTCCGACTTACCAACAAGGCCTTACACTGGTGGAATCACGCTAGGGACGAATACTACGACGAGACATGCGGATACCTGCGATATCCCGCATGGCACGTATTCAGACAGATCATTGAAGACCAGTTCCGAACCGATGCGGAAGTAGAACTCAAATTACAGGAGTTCAAGCGTATCCGCCAAAACACGTACAAATCGGCAAAGGAATTTTTCCGTGACTTTGAACGACTAGCAAAAGAGTCCGGAAAGCGCCACAACGAAGAATACATGATCGAAATACTCAAACCAGCAATCCGCAAGAACGTAAAAACTGCAATACACGCTACTGGGACGGCGTTGCCACGCACCTACGCAGAATGGAAGTTCCGAGTAGAACAAATGGACTACAACTACTGCGTGGGATTGGCAGAGGATGCAGGCAGAAGTCAAGGAGCACAGGGTCAGCAGAACAAGGGAACGGGAAAAGCTGGAAGCTCCGGGAATTCCCAGGGCGATAAGAAGACAGGAACAGGCACCACGTACGGGGGTCAAGGACAACCGATGGAAATAGATCGACTACGGAAGGAAGGACGATGCTTCCGCTGTGGTCACAAGGG